AATTCCGCAAACGGAAACGCCGTGAAACTCGGTTTTCCCGACAGAGGTCAAATAAGAAAGCGAGCAATAAAAATCCGATACCTCCGCCAAGGCGATCTCTCGTAAGCGTTTAATATATTCTGTAACGGTTACAACAGAGTTTCTTCATATTTTTTTCATGGAGAACAACTAAATAAAGAATTTGTCTTGCAGTATAAGCGCCACGTTTGCGTAATGCCTAGATATTAGATATTATCCGTTTAAGACCAAATCGAGCATAAATAATGGCAACTTGGGGCCATTAAGATGGAAAGCTAGTCGTAAATTATCATACAATAAATTGCCATTTTTGAAATATCGCGTTCTCCGTGTAGGTACGGACGGAATTTAGTTGTTGCCACGGCCATACAAGTGGGGCACCACAGCCTCCTCGAATTAAACATTTTTATTATTTTTAGAAATGCCATCAAAAGTCTTTATATCTCACTACCTCCTTTATTATATGATATATTATTTAGAAAAATATGCCACCGATACCCTATCTCTCCGCCACTGGAGCATGTATATTTTAGGAAAAGCCCTCAGATTTTGGACATTGTTTACATAAATACGTGTGTCCAATTTCAAATTATTTCACTTAATGGTTTTTAAATTATTTAAAAAAATTAAAAATATTTTTTGAAGGTTAACACCCTGTATCTTTTTAACGAAGCGTCCTAGATAAAAACTTTATAGGAAAGACTCCCCTTAAAAATTCATCAAAGAAAAAGAAGTTTCATTTTTGATCACCGTTTGTGAATCACCCTGTATAAAAAACGTAGTAGACAGTAAGTACACGACAGGACATAGTATACGAAAAAAATACTCATGTATATCTAATATTAACGCAAGAAGAGCCATATACATAAAATAAAAATTGTAATTTGTAAGTATCAATTACTTAAAATTCAAATATACAATAACATCACGGACTGTAATTTTCGTGAAATCTACGGAAGTCTTGAAATCTATCGCATGCGCACTAGCACAACCGCACAGTGTTGCCAATTTGTAGATTTTTCCTTAAGTTCTCGGGATTTTTTGGAAACATCAAATCTTTTAATTATTTTTTTACATGTTGGACATTTTCTTTAAGTACATGACAATGGTAAATATGAGTGATTAATAAAATAAATAAGTAGAGCAGTGAAAGGGTATATGTGTACGAAATTTTCAAGTTTAGAGTAGCCTTAAAAGTAACCGTTTGTTAACAAAAAAATTAAATTCATTATCATTCGCATTAAAACTGCAAAAAGCGAAATTTAAAAACTTTTAATGCAAGAATTCCTGAAATTATCAACAATTGTTTTCCACGAATTTACCCAAATATTTTCGACACTGTCTAATTGTCATTTCAAGTGCCAAATATATGTTTAAGTTAACAACGCATATTAGAGGAAAAAATAAAACTGGCGGAGTATATATTTTTTAAAAATTGATCATCAAAATATAGAAAACAAAAATTTATACAAAAAATTTCATATAATAACAAAATATAGATATTACAGATCCTAGATAATAACCTTGTTTGTGTAGACAACTTACGTTAGAGACAAATCTGGCAACGCCGAAGGAATTACTCGTAAAAATGCGAAAGCAATGATGCTAACATTGAATTTATAAACGCAGTCAGATAAGTCAAAGTAAGAGTTGACGTTTGCTCACAAATTTTGACGTTTGCAGGCCGTCAGGATTTAGAAAGTTTGCGATCGACGCCCTTATAGAGCAAGAAATAAAGGTGAAAAATCATCGAGAAATCGTGAAAATTACTGGGAGTGATTTTATTGTTGGAAAGTCTTGGGAATGATAATATCTACAATATCAAATGGGTCATGAAAAAAGTATAGCGTCATTGTTTTTTATCAACAAATAGGTCAAAAATTCATCATTTTACGTTCTACGCGTTATTATAAAAAAACTATTAATCTTAGCAAATAATGTTTCAACAGACGATTTGATCTAGAGAAAAACTCATATTTAAAATGAGACTTTATAAGTTTTGTTAATTGCTTTATAAACAATAAAGTTATTGCAAAATTAAACGGAAAAAGTGCTTTTTCTTATATTGTTAATAACTTTTTAAATAAATAGTAAAATCTTACCAAACTTTCCTAAAATGTGGGTTTTTATATCCTTAATAATAATGTGGCAAAAGATGGGCTCGATCGGTCAAATAGTTTTTTAGAAATTCCATTTATTTTTCCCATTTTTGCAAAAAGGCCCATTTTCAAATCACTGTTCCGGGGGCAGAGTTATGACTAAAACATTCTTTCTGGGCTCATTTTCTTCGAAGGGACACCAAGTATCCTCTAGTTAAAAAGAAATATATTTTTTTTCAAATTTAGTTGTATATAATAATTGTTTCTCTAATAAACAAATAAAATAACTAACAAATAATTTTGACATTTTTTTTATTGAGAACTATTGTCTAAAACATTTTAAATAAAAAAAAATGCAAATAAAAAATTTCAAAAAATTCATTTTTTTACGGGCGCTGGATTGATCGATTATAGATAAATTCAATTAAAATTAACAGGGCATAAAGTTTAAACCACCATTTAAAAAATGTTAAAATTTCAGGTCTTAATGTTTATAACAAATTGCTGTGATTTAAAAAAAAATGTTAACTCCGGACCTATTGGTCGTAAAAACTTTTTTTTTTCAATTTGTAGGTTTTTTACGAGCTTTCCAATGGTGTATATAACTTCTTCCAAAAGTTACAAACCGCGGAGTTATTTTATTTGTTTATTAGGGAAAAAAGTGCCTTTTATTTGGTAGCAATTATAAGTAGGTACATACCTGAATTTGAAAAAAAATATATTTTTTTATAACTAGAGCCCAAAAATAATGTTTTAGTCATAACTCTGCCCCCGGAATAGTGATTTGAAAATGGGCCTTTTTGCAAAAATGGGATAAATAAATGGAATTTTGCAAAAACTATTTGACCGATCGAGCCCATCTTTTGCACATTATTATTAAGGATATAAAAACTCACATTTTGGGAAAGTTTGGTAAGATTCTATTAATTATTTAAAAAGTCATTAACAATAATTAAAGAAAAAGCACTTTTTCCGTTTAATTTTGCAATAAATTTTTTGTTTATAAAGCAATTTTAACTTATAAAAGTCTCATTTTAAAGATGAGTTTCTCTAGATCAAACCGTCTGTTGAACTTTTTTGCTAAGATTAATAATTTTTTTACAATAATGCGTAGAACGAAAAATTACGAATTTTTGACCTATTTGTTAATAAAAAACAATGACGCTATACTTTTTCATGACCCATTTGATGAGACGCCTCTTGTATTATCATTCCCAAAACTTTCCAAAAATAAAATCACTAGCTTAGTAATTAATACATTTCAAAATGTTTCCTTTCTTGGTCTATTAATAGATTTGACAAATTACACATTTATCATTAAATTACATTTATTACTGTGACTATTGTATTATAACAGTTTATTTTTAAATCACTCATCTAGTGCACTTATTTTGCAGAAAGTAACCCCATACCGCACATGTGTGCGCACGAGAATAAAAAGCCTTCGCGGTTTACCCACTAGCGCTCGCATAAAAATTCCTGGATACAACCCGCCCTGATTTGGTTGTTAAATCACGTCCAGGACCCGCGGGGTCATTTTTCACGTGTCCCGGCGCTGGCACCTCATCGGAATAGTCTTTTAACTTTAAATATATTTGCTGGCCATTAAAATAAAGTAAGTGAAATAAATGAATGCCCGTTGTTTTAAGGCATGTACTAATAAGCTGATATCAATATATTCGTTTATTTTTGCGGCGCGGAACTCGTTTTCGGTCGAGGAGCAAAAAGCGAAGAGTTGGCCCATGTCATATTTAATATTTTTAATTGTGATTATGTTTCTACAAAGCCAATATGTAAATTGGATGAATGCATTTTTTGAATGTGCCATTACTTATATGGTTCGATCTTGTGATGAGGAATATGCCATGCCATAAATTAACTGGCCCGTCTTCTATAATTCACTGCGACAATGGACGTAACCCTTGAAATTTATTAATGGTACGTAATGACGGTTTCTTATGCGACATCCTGGCGGGCCGAGGGGCAAATCTCGATTTTTATCAAACGCAAAATTGATGTTTGAACGGCACGAATTTGATTTACAACATGATACGAAATCAAATTAATTAAAGTATGATGTAATTTAAAATAATATACAAGTATCACGGGTTACTTGAATATGAATAATTGAAAAATGCATACTCATAGCTCTCGACAAGCAACACTGAATACTACTACAATTAATTAACGCTTTTGTTTTCTCCAAATTGGCGGTTTGACAATTTTATAAATCCAAGCACCCGAGTGAATTTTTATAAACATCTATATGCATGAAACCGCAGTGATATCTAGCCGATTTCAAATTAAATAAAGAACAAAATACCGATTTAATTTAGTTAATTAAAAACATAACCTTATTACTTAAAAAGATAGTGAAACTCAACTATTATTTGAAGAACTGCTTACCTTTTATTGGAGAACGGTGTCTTGAACAAAAGTATCTGCACATCCAAGCATCCAACATCTTGTCACAGTCACTATAATAAAAATTAAATTGTCGATTTAAATTTAATTTAAATCAAACACGGCATTTTATTACAGCGCTCCCGGCGGCTGAGCTGTAAAACTAGGTTAGAATTAATAGGCGTTTTCCATTTATCTGATCTAGGGATCTAGGAGATAAGATCATTTTTGATTTAATAGGTTAGTAGTTAGTTAATACTTTTTCGGAGTATTTGATCGTTCTAACCTAATTCAAATTTATGTTAAAAAAGGCAGATGCATTAACATCTGTAGATTTTAATACTGAAAACTACTAGTGTTTGGAAAAATTTTAACATTAAATCTGGGCGTTGAAAAAATTTGATTTAAGGATGAACGAATGGTACGCAAAGGAATATTTTACAAAAATTTAGCATTCCACACAATACTAACAACAACGTCTTTCTGTAATGTCTATTATATTTCCCAAAAAGTACGTAACAATTAAGTATCAATTAACAAATTAATATAAATCACACCTTTATACAATAATCTTGTAAAGCTTATCCTACCCTCAAGTTTAACTTAGGCCAACCGTTTCAATCTTAACCTCTTCCGCCTCTCGACGTTCGACTTCACTCTTCCTAGTTGACGTCCTTTCGTGTTTCGCCATGTGAGTCTTCAAAGAAACCAACTGCCGGAACCCTTCGGTACATATTTCACATATGTACGGGGTCTCGTCTGTGTGCTGTCGCGTGTGTACCTTCAGAGCGTACTGTGACGAATAATCTTTTTGGCAGTATTTGCAGTGGTACTCGCGTAATTTCAGGTGGATCAACTTTACGTGTTTTTTCATCGTGCCCAGGTCGAAAAACCGCTTCCCGCATGTGTCGCACTGGTGTGGACGAAAACCTGAAACATATAGCCTTTTAAAATAGCAAAAGCAAAAGAAAACAAGCCAAACTAGAAACATAACCTCAATTTGCGTTTTCTAACTAGTCTTTTCTACATACCTGTATGGATTTTCCGTTTGTGATATGTTAATCGGTGACTGTATTTAAACGATTCCCCACACTCCCCGCAAGTATAAGGCTTTTTCTTCGCATTGTGAAAATGAAATAAATGCGTCCTCAGACCTTCCAAGCTTTTATGGATACTGCCGCATATATCACAAATCTGTTGTCCCAATTTATGTTTCGTCATGTGTTTATTGAAATTGTCCTGCCTAGTCGTCACGCCACAAATCTCACAAGTCTTCTTTATGTGCTTGCCTTTATGTCTCATGTATAGCACGTTTCCCCGGAAGTCTACATTGCACACATTGCAGTGGTATAAGTAAGGTTTATTATTGTCCTTCCTGTATATTATCTTTTTTATATCGTTTTCATCGAGTACATCCTCGATAAAAGTCTTTTCTGGTACTTCTTCAGATGAATTAATTCCACTATTATCACAATGTCCAGAAGCGTCACTATCAGGAATATCGGTAGACGAATTTGCTGGACTGAATATTTCTTCTTTAATTTCTATGTGGTTAAAATTTAAATCCTCTACGTTAGTGCAGTTTTCACCTTCAAGCAGTTGTATCACCGGCCTGGTTTTTAAAAGTTCATTTAAACTTCCATCCCTATTAATTATGGTCCTAAGCTTTTCATCGGATTTAAGAATAACATTCCTCATATTTTCAATGAAATACAAATTGAAAATACACTTTGAACAAGACAGTTTTGGCAGGTTGTCATTCACAGACACCTAAAAGGTAATAGTTGCATTAAAGATTTATATATATTTAATAGTATATTTACTTCTATTGAGGTTAGAACTTTTATTGTGTTTTGAATATTTTCTTTGAAAATCGTATATCCTGTGGGAACCACGTCTAAACAAAGGCGGCATATTATATTTCCATCCATTTCCATTATCCTCCTTAATTTAAATTAAAAAATACTTGGAGTTTTTTAACACTTATCTAAAAAAATACCACAATCTCCCATCATAGTCTTTTTCTAATCAGTCACCTTACACCTTAACATTAATGTTATCAAAAGAATTGGTTGGTTTGTTCCTTTAAGCAATTACCAAATCAAATACAAATAATGGTGACAAGAATTAAATAAATAGTCCAATTTTAATATTTTTCTTAATAACACTAGTATATTTATAAACTAACTTTTTATGTTATTCTACGGCAGTTTCTCTTTTGGTTTGGTGTGACATCTGTTATCTGTCAGTAAATACTATACAATAAATAAAAAGTAAACATTAAAGTTCAGATTTATTAGAGCTGTCATCTATCGACGAAATATGTGAAGGTATATTGGCCAACAGATGGAACAAGTATCCATATTTATTATAAAATCCCTGACATTGTGATCTTGACCTTGAATAAATCGGGCAATAAATTAAAAACCGTCAAATTGTATTCAATTTCTTAAAATGAGTTAAATTTTAAACAAAATTCTTGCTCTTATTGTTAGATGCGTTTTAATATAGGTAATTAGTTTAATGACCACCAATATGAAGAATTTGTTTAACAGTTTAACACACGGGAATTAATAGATAATAAGGTACCAACACGCACTTAATTGCGTTTGGCTAACCAAGTTTACATCATCGGGAGCATATTAACGAGTTATTTGAAAGAATTTTTATCAATTGATGATGACATTAGCACTAGATTACAGTATTTTTATCCGATAAATAGGCATAGGAAAACGGTATTTTCATATGCAGTTATATTTCACGTATGACATGCAATACATCAGGATATTAACCAGCTCTAATTTTACAGGCCTACTAATATTTTAGTAGATACTGCCAGGTGACTCAAAATGTCGAATTATTTTTGGCGCTGGCAATATTTATTTGCGATGATGCATATTTTATGACAGGGTTACGGTATTGCTAGGTACACAAGATAGTTTTGTATACTTAAAACATTTTTATTGTTATCTTCCGAAGCGGCCTACTCAGAACAATACAGTGTTTGTGACTTGTTAGGCTGTTAGTGTTATCAAAAATTTATTCAAGATATGTGTGGAATAAAGTTATTTAAGGGATCAGAGAAAGCCTCGTACGGGTAAGATAGGATGTTAGGAAACAGAAAAAAGTCGCGAAATCAAAAAATTAAATATTATGTTTACATTTTGATATTAAAATTTTTGTAAATATTGTACTTGATAATAACAATTGTTAGACTATCAAATCTAGGTTTATGTTACTTCATTATTAAAGTTTTTGCAGTCTGTACATATATTTTGTGAAGTAAAATAAAAACAGTTATATAGAATGAATAGTAAAATTCAGTCAAAATATAGTTGAAATTGATGGTAGCTAGTGAAGAGAAACAAAATAAAACAGAACATAAAAAATGCGATAAAACAAATCCTTACTTCTTTTAGGTTTAAAGAACATGAGTCTGCCAAAGGAAGCAGTGCCGATATACCAGAAATCTACGAAGACATGAAGATTTCTACACCCAACGAAAAATACAAAAAAATTCAAACTTTGTAACCTTAAAAACTTAACATATAAGTAAAATAATTTAATTTAAGTCTTGATATCGACATGTCACAGAATATTTATTTTTTTTACGAAGCTATGATTTGTTTTTTGATTCTTAGTAAACATTTTTGTTAATAATGGGACTGTTTTTCTTTTGAATTAATATTAATGTAAGCGTTTGCCTATAAGTAAAGCAGTCTATTGTGCAACGAACAACAAAAGAGAAATGTTACTTAAAAGCGATTTCCAATTTTTATTATATTGTAGTCACATACGAAATGACCAATTTGATATTCACACTTTGTAGCCCATTCATTTTCTAAAGTAATAAATATTTGTACGGTGCATTTCAAGTAACGCGCCTAGAAATTGAGTTAAACAAAACGCAGCGAGTATGAATTTCACTCATTTGAATGGAATTTAGCCGCGTTTGTTTGGTAATTTAACCTGGCTTGCGACTAGGTCGCTAATTGATGCTTTAATTGTCGTTTTTATGAGATATGCCAATTAACTTGCATTTTTTGGTTGCGTAACGATAATTAAAAGTCCTTTTATGTACATAGGCCAGGAAATATGGAGTAGGACGCGACTTTTTGTTTCGGCAAGCTGAATTTATCACTATAGATGCTAAATATTATGTACAATAATATATTAGTTTCCACAGTCATAAACGGGGGGAAGATTGTTTACAGGGTGGTTAATTGTATAATTTTTACGTAAAATCACATTTTTGCTTATAACTTTTTTCCGTTCATTTCCACGAGAAAACAGTAAAGCACTTTTTTTTCGTCTTCAAAAGTCCTACAAAACTAGCCCTCGAGCGAGAAATATTGATTAGATCAAAAGTTGTAAACAGAAGAAGTTTATTTATGACTTTTTAATTAAACATTTATAAAGTGTGTTATTATTACCAGAACGTTTTGGCATCGCATCCTCTCATTCCTTGTCACTGTCTAATAACTCGCACGAAATCTGGAATCGGTAAGTTGAATAGTTTACTTTAGTAGTTATTTAGTTTAATATTTTCCACAATCGCACTGATTTTTTTCATGGTAGATTTCATAATAATACAATGAAATCTATCATTTTTTTTTAATTTCAAATTTGCAACCTGGATTTTTTTTTATTTTCTAGCCTTAAGGCTAATTTAAAAAAGGAAATGACAGATTTCAATGTACTATTATGAAATCTACCATGAAAACAATCAGTGCGATTGTGGAAGATCCTCGGGATCGTCCAGACTAATAATTAGTTAATTTGTTTATTAGGTCATAACTTGTAATATATTCAACTTACCGATTCCAGATTTCGTGTGAGTTATTAGACAGTGATAATGATAACGCCGTTTATAAATGTTTAGTTCAAAAGTCATAAATAAACTTCTTCTGTTTATAATTTTTGATCTAATCAATATTTTTTGACGCTCGAGGGCTAATTTTGTAGGTCTTTTGAAGACGAAAAAAAGTACTTTACTGTTTTCTTGTGGAAATGAACGGAAAAAAGTTATAAGCGAAAAACGTGAATTTACGAAACAATCTTCCCCCCATTTTTATGACTGTGGAAACTAGTATGTTATTGTACATAATATTTAGCATCTGTAGTGATAAATTCTGCTTGCCGAAACAAAAAGTCGCGAAATGGTGATTTCCTAACTTATTTTCCTGGCCTAACACCTTAAAGCGCTAAAGGACAAGGAATATTTATGTAATATAGTTGAGTAGGCGATTACAATGGGCATTTCCAGTTAATTAAAATGAAAAAAATTAGTTTTGAAGTTTTTGTTTGAATTAATAATTAATTATTGATGGCCATGAATGATTTGCTAAGTAAAATTTGCTGCTATTGTTGTGTTTACATAGTTGGCAATGGAGAACAAAGCGTTTGCTCCCCGCTAGGATTGGCCCTGTATAAATGTTCAAAATTTGGAATTGATGGAGAAAACAGATTTTCGTTTCCAGTTTACTTAAATTAAATACACATAGAAAATTTTTTTTTCTCATTTCTTATTTTTACTATTATTTTCATTTTGTACGTCGTTATTTCACAGTTTCGACACCTACGCCCTATATATACAGAGGTATGTTAAGTAAGTACCTATCGAAAAACATATATAATCAAACATTCCTAGTTTTATCTGACCTTAAGTGAAAAAACTACATTTGAACCCATAACTCCTAAAACAAACTACCAAACATTTAACGCCTATCACGAACCATATCGCGTCTGGGCCGGACTACAAATACAAAACAAGCCAGGTTGAAAGTGAGTTTGGACGGCGTTTGCCCACGATTCACCTGTGCGGGTAAAAAAGGTAGCGCGCCCCTATATGGGTCACTGGTATATAACACCTTAAGACCTCTTCTTCGGTTATTTGACTGCCGGAGAGTCGGTATAACACGGTCATAACAGCCATTTCACTTCTCGGCGCGGTGCTTTCTCCTAAACACACAGTGTCGGATGGATTTATGGACATTTTGACTAGGCCTATCGATTGGGTGTTCGATTTCGGCGTACCAGTGTAAAAAAAGTTATTGAGGTTCGCATGGGTGATATGTAGAGTGCGTCGACAAATATCTATGGTGAGTATTGTGATGATTATCGATCGTACAGGGTGTTTAAATTACATTGATGTTGTGGTAAATGGAATAAATACTGAAAAAAAAAACGTGGGGGCGAAAATAATTAATGTCTATTAAAAAATACATTAAATATTTGATTGCAATAACATGATTTTAGACTTTAACTGTCAATTCGTTTAAATAATAATTGTAATAATTGTCATCGCGACATGGTGCTGTTGTTCTTAAATTAATAATAGGAACAAATTTCCAGTGAATTGTTTCGGATTTAAACGACAAACTTTAATGAGACATGAAAAAAAATTTTTTTTGCTTTAATGTTAGCTGTTTATAACGTACAGATTGAAAAAGACGTTGGACCAACACTACAATTTTTTATGGCGCTCTTTGGCGGCTGTACGTTATTAAAAAAACAATGGGTAAAAAGATTTATCTAAACTTGAGATTTATCTAAGCTTAATTCAAATGTTCACTTAAGAGAAATACAGTATACAATTTTATTTTTGTTTTGGTTTTTGTTCTAAGTAGTTTTGAAAATATTGATTGGAAGATTCATGAAATATTAAGATTAAAATATTCTATATATCGATTGTTTTTCACACAAAACATTCTTCTTTATCAATTTTCTGATCTATATTTCCAAAATCACCAGTTAGAGCAAAAAATCAATATACAAGTTGTAGCTTTGACGCCCTGTATCTTCTTTTTGAACCGAGATAAATTCGATCAAAGGCATTTTGAAATTTACTGATATTTCATTACAAACTATTTTGTATACATTTTTTATTTATTTTTTAACTTTTCTAAACAGCGTAGATACAAGCACTATACACGTATCATCAAATATAATGGCATTATTTTATAAACTAAGTCATTAATTAATTAAAGTGCTAAAACACCTTGTATACTTGCCCTTTTTATCCTTTCAATTGTCCTTTATGTTAAAGTTTGCTTCAAATATAGTGTGTTAGTAATATCCTTACATCAGAGAGCATGCTTCAAATTGTTAAAGCATCTTTAACGATATTAGTCCAATTTTGTATTTTGCACTATAAACTACTACACTATCTATTTTCAATGTCTTTGTAACATGCGTATACATATTTTAGAAGCTTGTGCATATGTTTTTTTATGTTTAATTAATTCTTAATTAGTGCATTGCATTTTTTACTAGCATGTTATTATTTAAATACATTAATTTTAATTTTCTTCCATTTCAAATAAAATTATATATGTTCTCTGAAGCCACTCTGATATCTTGTTTATGGAATTGCTTTATTTTTGAGTTAAATATTTAGCATTAAAGAATATACATACATATACTCATCTGATAAAAATCAAAGAAAATTGTTATAATTATCCTAAAAAAATATAACACAGAAGTCTATAAACTCAACATTCATCCTCTACTTGTTTTTATTTTAAATAATACTTTTTGAAATGAGGAAACGGCGTGTTAGATATATCCCCTATGTAGGTACATTTACCCGTATGCCATAAATTCACTCTCTAACTGAAGTTTGCAAAATATTTCCGAGATGACATAACGTAAAATTAGGTACAACCTTCCTCTAGGTACGCATAATAACCCTTCCACAGCAAGTAATCAAGAGAATAAATTAAATATCATCGTACAAAAGTTACAGCAGCAGTACTATTTCTGCAATTAGTATTGCACATTTATAAAAACGTACATTAAAGCACAATTATGTGTACACTAATTAGGTGTACGACCTTTTTACGTACATAATTAATTATTATATTTACAGGTATCCATTACTTACTGGCCAGAGATATGATCGACTGTGGATACTTATGATGGAAAATCTGTAGTTCCTTCTCACAATCGAATCATGATTAGATACAAGGTAAGTTAAATGTTTCAAACGTTTAAATATTTTATTTTAGCATGTTATAATCTAGCTTTTCTGTGTTGAAATATTGTCCAATCAACACAATTGTTTTTACAAACTGAGCTCAATATAAAATAAAAAGCAGAAATATGTGAACACAACTAGACCATTTAAAAGTGAAGGATAATTCTATATGACATTCAATTTTCATTTGAAATATCTAGAATGACTTGCAGCTTTTTGTCTCTGTTAACCAATCCATTGAATAATCAAATTTATAGATTGTAAAAACTGGTGTAATTGTTATAGTAAATTTGATTTTTCACGTAAACATCGTTTTTAGCCTGTTGGCAGACGCGAAATAGAAACAAAGAATACAAAGTTGAAATTTAATTGTGGGAATTTTTCCCATGCTGTTTCATTTTATGCGTACACTTCAACTTTTACTCAAATTTCTCTCTATTAGCGATACCTGCATTTCAGAATCTATTGTTCTTATTGCAAATACCTATTTACACTTTACGGAGCATTGACACATTGACATAATACGAGTAAGTATGTTTAACGTCATCTTTTTTAACTCTATCCTTCATATTATGAATATCTGTATGTACCGCTTTGTTATAAAAGATACTACACCAGAACGACAAAGAGGGAAAAATTGTAAACGGTATATTTCATAAATTATAATGGTCTGCGCCTTTCCACTCTATCATTTAGCTGTTATTTATGTGTAATCTTTAGAACGAATTATAGTAACAAAGGTAATTAAGATAATATTACTTAATTCGTGTAATTTATCTCTACCATTAACACACTTTTGCGGAGGAACACTAAAATCCTACATAAAAACCCGTGTTTAATAATTTTAACTAAATAAAAAACATTTCAAATAAAGTTTATCGAATGTATCGCATATGTAATCTAGTAAGTTCAGATGATGTCTATATTTAACGTTTTCTGATGAATAAAAATATGAATTTTTGGGAAAAAACATTTTCAATTTAAAAAAAAAATGAATAAAAGACGCAAAATTTATCCTATTTTAGCATTTTTAGCAGAGACAATTTCAAAACTTCGGATCACAATAAGAGAAAAATCACAGCAGTTTGAGCTTTTGGGGGTTTCTTTGGGTACCTACAACTTTGAGATTAAAACGGGTAATTGAGATCAAAATGTCGACAACCTTGGAAACTGCTATTTTCCGTATGCTGTGTTTTTTTTTGTCATAGATTAGATTTATATGACAAGAAAGATATATATTCCTTGGACTGTTTCAGAAAAATTGTACTCATTTTTATATAATCGATATATTAGCGGTTCGGTTTTGTTTGAGGAATCAGTTAGCATATTTAATTGCTTAATGATCATATAACGCTAAACACGAAACCCTGATAACGTTAATGTGTAAATCGTTGGAAAATCACTTTCGTTTAGACTCCATCCGTACTAGCACAATTTCACTTTTACGTTTATTTCTTTCCCACGATTTGGCTTCCTGCGTACCTCACGCACCTGAACAATATGACCAGGAAATGTAGACGAACATTTGAACTCTTATTCTTTGATGTGGTCTCGTCACCAGGGAAATTTCTTTTCTTGACACTCTTTTTGTAAGTACATAAAAAGTACTATGATTATTTAAACTTTCTTTGCTATCATAAATCGATGTCCATCCACAATATGTTGTGAAAGAGTTGCTCAGTAGGTCAAACTTGGGTTAATTTATTGCAGTAACAGATTTTTGATACGAATAATTAATGTCTGGTTTTGTTTGTATAAAATCCGTTTCTGGATTCAACGCGATACCTTGATCGTAAATTTAAATTGTGTTTATTTTGAAACGGTACCATGCAGGAATTTCAATTTCGGTTTCGAAGTTTATGTTTACATCGGAAATAGAAAGTGAGGCGAAAACGAGAGTCACATTTTTTATCTCTTCATTTAGTCTTGTATCTTTTTTTTATGAAGATTTTTTCTGCAATCTGCAATTATACGATGACATTTAATTGAAATATATATACAGGATGTTGAAATAGTAGAACAATTTTTACTACAAACATAGTTTTTGTTTTGTAATCCTTACTGATTTTTTTGCAGCTACTTTACCTCACATTGGCCACGTTGACTTTCTACACTTTCTACGCCACATCTCAAGAAACTGTAAGATCCGCCGAGGGTAATATTAGCAAGAAATGGGACCCACCCGATAAAGTAACTTTACAAAAATCTCAACCCTACTCTCAAGAAGGCGACCAACGATCCTTCATGTCAAACCTGGTCACGTGGATATTTCCATTTGCCAAACCCGCAGAAGAAAGACGTGACTTCACCGGGTACCAGTACTTACCCACCTCTTCAAGCCAAAGCCATATAGACAAAGACTGTAACTCCTGCAATCGGGAACCTTGGATTCCTATTGCTTCTAGTGTAGGTGAAAAAACTGTTATAAACTTCGTGCCCCCCATCAAAAACTTTGAACACTCGTCTAGCGATTTTAGTGTATTTGAAACCTTACACCCTCCCCCACCCTCGTATAATCCCCCGGTTGTGCAGTACGGTCCACCACCTCAGTTCAAATTGAAAGGTACCAGAAATAATTTTGGCCTAGCAAAGCGGCCCAGTCAAACTTATGCTAGCAATGACGAGATTGTTATAGTGGACTACATGGTACCACCTCCAATTAACTACAGGGTACCATCGCTGATATATGGACCACCAAAGCCAATGTACGGACCACCACCAGCAAACAAACCAGTGTATGGTGCACCACCACCACCCAAACCAGTGTATGGTGCGCCACCACCACCCAAACCAGTGTATGGTGCGCCACCACCACCCAAACCAGTGTATGGTGCGCCACCACCACCCAAACTAGTGTATGGAGCGCCCTCTCTGAAACCTAAACCTATTTACAGTCCAGTTCCGCCTCAATTTGGATACAACAACCAATACTTTGACCAACCTCCACCGGCAACAACGTACCTCAGACCAGTCTCACAGGACATTGCCCCTCCTCCACCACCAATTTCCGATCTGTCTAGCGTAAACTACCAAGGTGAGGTGGCAACCGATTTCGGTGGTCCAATTGCACCATCTGATAGTTATGGCGCTCCCGTAACTGGCGATGCCTTAAAATATTTCTCTCCCCCTGAGCAGCTGTCGTTGTCGAATGAAAAAAAGGAATACATAGAAAAACCCATTCCTCTGCCAAATTTAAGTTCATTCCCAGTGCTCCCGTTCCGCAAGTTCGGAGATTTCAATCAGAATTTAATCCAGAGCCCACAGACTGATAATACTGAGGTTAAGATACAGGAAAGTGTAAAAATTGCTGATTATCTAGCTGCAATCGAACATCCCATCAACGTTATCCAATCTCCTTTAATTGAGTTGTCCATCAAAGGCGATACTTACGAAGAAAATGATAAGCCTGATGAAGTTGTTAATAATGAAGGATTCATACCAGTAGATTCAAACACTCTTTATTCTGGAGATGATATTAACCACCAGTCTTACGATAATCAAGAAGGGAACTATGTTAGGAGCAATAAAGAACAGAAACCATACAGCAATATTAATGAGAAATTACAAAACGCTGTAATCTCTTCGAAATTGAGCGAAAACCCTATCGTAGTCGAAGACGTCCACGCAGAGGCAAGTAGTAACAACGACACTTTTGTTAACTCCAACGAAATTAACATTAAACGTAGTAACGGCAAAGAAACAGGGACACAAAATTTAAATTTTGGCCCTGTCAGCGGTACAAATATTATAAAGTCACTTTTACTTGATAAAGCATCGTCACAGACTTCAAGCGCCTTTAAAAAAAGCGACTACATAGCTATAAATAATAACTTCACCATGCCTCCTCTGGATTATGGAAGCTGGACGCCAACCTTTGGCGTAACTATGTCTAGTCTCAAAGTTCCTACTAATCCAGCTGAAGCGTCACGTGACTCGACGACTACTAAGAAACCGAAACTTTTACAAATAATAGTTCCGTATGTAACCAACAAACAGCCTGGGTTCTTTGAAAAAGACTGGAAGAGTCAACCTTTCTCTCAGATTCCAAGTTACAATGGAGCTTACACCACCCTCTTACCAGTGTTCACACCTCCCGAAACTGCCCAATTATCAGTTTGGTCCAAGTACAGTTCAGTCGAAGTAAAACCTGTGACACCAACAGCGGTTCCTAAGGCTACCACTGCGGTGTACAACATCAAAGAATTGTTAAGTAAAAGAACAGAGCAGCTTCCATTCGATATAATTTCTTTCCAAAAGCATATCGACGATTGGACGCAAGAAGCTTATTCCTTAAACGCTCAAAAAGAAAGGTTTTCGACACCTAAAGAAATACCTAGTGAATATTTTACTACTGAAGCACCTAACACGTACCTAGAAACAACAACTTTTAAAAGCCTGTTAGACTATAGCTTTGCGGAAACCACGCAAGTAGATATAGTTGATGCTAACGTTGACATAGACTCAAACCTGGTCATACCAGCTGAAACGACTACTGAGAAATATACAACAACGACATCACCAACAACAAAACTATCGAGCAAGGCCCCATGGAACGTGTCACATATTACAATCTCACGGCAGTCTAAGGAGAAAGTTTATATAGTAACTCCCCAGACCTACAGCTTCTATACGTCGACTCCAGCGACGGCCTGGAGCAGCGCGCCTAGAATCGAAAAAGGGAAGGTTAACAATGGATCTACGTACGATTCACATAAGTTCTCTATTAGGGTGGAACCACAGAACAAAACGAGCAGGGAGAAGTTAAAGAGAGATGGCACAGGCGCCGTGAAGATCGTCTACAGCGAGTGGCCTCATTTGAGTAAGTAGATTTTTGTTTAATAATATAAATATTTGCCCAGTTTAATGCAGTCGTTAGTTTTCCTTCAAATTTTACTATGAATAAATAAATTCTAAACAGTATCAGATTTCAAAATATTTGTTTTTGTTTTAGTAAACGATCTTCAAGCGACGACGAAGAGACCATCGTCAAGACACCCTCTATTTGGTCTAATGGATATTTCTGCTTATACGCCCCCACCAAATTCTACAGTAGAGACTATTCTCGGGCATTCTCGGGTAAGTATCAAATTCAATTAAATTATACTACGAAATCTAGAAGTTCACTATTTTCCTCCTCCTCTTTGATACACGCCTAATCGTTGAATACTCAGACCTCTTCTATTTGACGCATAGAGGTCCAACCTACACAACGACTTCAGAATTACTCCGATAGGACCAACCCTGACAATTAAGAGATAAGCTTAAAGTTTTCCATAGAACTAAAAACTTTAATAACTCTCATGGTTTTTTACCTCGAGGATGTTATTTGTTTCGTATGAGTCACTCAGTATAGAATAAAAAAATAAGAGTACCTTTGAACTGCGTTGACATTGTAATTGTCGCATCATTGATTATTGATAGACGATTTAAAAATACGTAAGCTAGAACACTTATTATTCTGGAAAGAAAACAACACATGCTTGAATAACTTTTGATGTAGGCTAGATAAACAGAAGTTTTTCACATGGGAGAAATGGTAACACTGTTACATATATGGGGTTACTATTTCGTGGGAAATCGTGATCTTCATCACAATACAGTTGTTGTTTTCTTATATTTTATGTTTCTACACAAGGAAAAGTGTTTGTTTTATTAAGTACCACTCTTTTTAGGTTGCTTTGGCAGTAACTACGCCCTCAGGGTCGCAGACTAAGAAGACAACGATCAAAGCAGGGACTCACACGTAAAATAATAGATTGTAATATATCCATTCTGTATATTAAATATTTCTGGTGAAATTATATACGGCATGTCCATGTTTAGGAATGTTATTTTTACTTGACTTTGAACTTCTAGGACAAGTTGTTAAATAATTATTCAGAAAATAGTCTATCCAAATTGTATTAATGATTTCTGAAGGCTATTTAAGCAGATAATTTGTTAGGATGAAGCAATTTGTACCTATGACTAAAAGATATTTTCCTCAGTGTACCAGTTTATTTATTTTTTAAGAATGATACCTCCATTTGAGCGTAGAAAATAGGCAGCTGTCGCGTATCTTTGTTTGTTTTATTTCTTCCAATCTCTGAACGTAATAAAAAATTTAACTAAAAAACCAATAAAAATTAAATACTTTCTGTTTCGAAGCAATCAACATGGACGATTTATCTAAAAATTAAAATTCTTATATTACCCAATTTATATCAACATCTTTCTGTAAAATTTTTTACACAAATTTTTCCTCTTTCTGCACTAACCTTGGTCACTGTATATACTTTCTTAAATTAAAGTAGATGTCATGTATAATAATTGTAAATATATTTCATTGTATCTATTTAAATATTTAAAATATCAGTCTCCTAATGTCACAGTATAATGAGGTACCACAGAAGTTTTTTATCGATCCGGTTTTGTCGATTCAAAAATGAAAAAAAAGCCTTATTTTTTCACTTATTTGTCGATTTTGCTGATTGGTTTGATTGAACGAATCTGTTCAATTTCTAGATGTCTTTCATCGCCAATTCTTACTGTTTTTCTTCTCTTAAATTGTTTTAGTATTGCACAAGATTACAGCTAGATTTGAAGATACCAATGCCCATAATGTATGCACATAATTGTACGTAGAAGTTAGCTCTTTAATCTTCAAAATCGGACGAAAAAATATAGGAACGAAGTAACTAATATTTGTTTTGATCATTGTCGATGTATATGGAAGAGTTTTGTATTTATGAATATTTATTTGAATTAAAAACCATTAGTAAAAATTCTTGTGTGATTAAGTAAGCACCTCAAATAAAATTCCCTGTCTCCCAACTTCGTATCTATTTTTCTATTTAAACAATACTAGACTTTTTCTGTAACCTAGATGAAGAATGATAATATTAATAAATTCAAGTTTCATATCACTGCGAAACGTATACGTAATCTCCCCATATTATTTAAAATGCCGCACAAATAAAAGCCATTCACCAACAAATCCTGAATTACGGATTATAGTCCAAGAGAATTAAGCTCAAAACCTTCGAGATATGGCAGTTGCTTGACGTAGATTAGATATTAGTAAAAATCTCGTCGAAAATAATATGTACAATTAAAATATAAATTTGCTCCAAGAAAAAAACTTGTGCTATTTGAAAGAAAAATTAAAAACTGCAAAAATACTCAAAAATTACGTGTTTTTTCCACATTTTCCAATATACCTTTTTAAATACGCAGTTTACAGAAAAACTATTACTGATGAAATTGTTTGCTATGAAATTTGTTATAAGATGTAAAGTGATGAAAATCGAAGTAATTTTGACTGCGTTCGACTGACAAGTAAGAAATTGTCCAATTCTACTATAAAACGTAAATACTTTAAAGTATTACAAAACGAAATTCCAAAATCCGATCCAAATTGGTCTGATAGTTTTGGTATGAAACAATGTGTTACTAAATTTCAGAGCGAAATGTTATTTTTTTTCGTCAATGCTGGGGTTAAAGTTAGGCATTTTAATTGGCGCTAATTTTTTTACACATACTTGAATCCTTTAACTATCATACAGAATCGTTATAATATCATTTTCTTTTTTTTTAATTAATTTTTGAAGCTATTTTAAAAGTTCGAAAAATTTTAACTATAAACAAATACTTTCGTGAAGCGGTTTTGTGGTTTGGAAAATATACAAAACTACTAAAAAACAGTTCTCGGAAAGTCGCTTAACTTAAAAGAAAGAACGTTCAAATCGATTGTATAGGTTCCGAGTGTCAAAGTGAACAAGCGTTATTTGCGAAACTTGACTTGGACTTGACTATTATTCAATTTGCAATGCCATGATTAAATCTCGATTAAATTAATTGTTCGCTTATTCGACCTTGTGAAAACGAAATGAATGTACACTACGGTGGCAACAAAATAACTCTTATCAGTGGAAGATTTTATTTATCTCAATTTGATTATATACGCGCAGACTTGGCAGTTAGTATGCTATCGCTTCTGAAGAAGAAATGTCAGTTTACGTAGCGTTAATATTTCTCCTCGTGGTACCCGTTGCACTTTTGAAGATTGTTTGTTTATTAATGCATAGAGATTGTAAAAGTAAAGTATGTTTGGTGGGAAAAACGGCACTGGTAACAGGAGGGAACTCGGGTAAGTGTTTTTACATTTTTTTTTTATGATAAAAAATATTCGCTAAAATAAGAATAAGTTTTAGAAATTAAAAAACAGGATTCAGAATTAGAATGAATTATAATAATCATTTCATAATTTAAGAATTCCAATGTCGAATAATAATATTGTAATATTGGATGCTTTGTAGTTTCTGTTAAATTCTCTTATGTTTCCAATATTTTAAATATATTCAGGTAACCTATTATACAGGGTGTTTTTTAAGTATTTATACAAACTTTAAAGGGTGATGAGTCTTTGACTAATTTTAAGATAAAAAGTTCATATGAATATGGATCCGCAACGCCTTCGTTCATGAGATACAGGGCGTCCAAAAAAAATTTTTGTTTTATATTTAACTCCTATATAATTTGGACACTTTTTTTTATTATTAAAGAATACTTGTATCATTTTTTTTACATAATTGAAATATAAATACTGACTAGCGTTGATCCATTTAAATTTTTTTAAAAGTTTCTACAAGGTGTCCTTATGGATGTATCCATAACATAGTGAATAACTTTTTTTCGTAGTCTAAATATTTTAATATTAAATAGATCTGTGCAAAATGCCTAACTAAAACAAGCTAAGTTACAGTAAGATAAACCTCATGCAAATATACTTTACATTTAACAAAAATACTATAGCAGCGCCACACAGTGGGTGGATTAGTCCCTAAACAATTTTTATACCTTAAAGTTCCAGGTCACTTCTCTACCTAAGTTTTGTTTCTGCAGTAAACTGGCATTTTTCCAACCCATTTTGTATTACGCATGAGCGGTTGTGGACTATTTCTAAAGGTTATGAATTTTGAGCTATAAGAACGATTGTTTAGTTTGACATTTTACATTGAAATTTGAAATAAGGATAACAAACTGACAACCAGGGGAAAGCAGAAATCTGAATATGTCACACAATTGTTTAAATTACTTTTTTGAAAATCGAGCTAGCCACGGAAAAAGAAAACTGAATTTATCTGCAAATTTTCTTTAACTTTGAAATTATACAGGGTGTCCCTGAAAAGGATGGACAACAGGTTCCTTGGATGAAAATAAGACTATTTAACCTAACTTACCTATATACAAAAATGCACGCCTACTGAGATATAGCCTTCTAAATATAGAACAGACAACCTAGTTTTTTTCAAATAATTTGGAAACTGTTTTTCTTAGAAACTTCAAATTTGGTATACATATATAAGGGCAATGTAAATATAGAATTTGGTGATAATACATATACAGAATGTTCTCTTTCTAGTGCCTGTGCGCCACTGGCTATCCCGTAATTTTTTTGTGTGTACGTCAATGACGACAGAATTTATATTTTTAAAAATAAGCACTATTTTAGAATATTTTTTGACTCTTACAAAATTTTGATATCGTTTATGGATTTCGAGTAAAATTGGCATTAATGCTTATTTTTAAAAATTAAAAATTCTGTCGTCATTGGCGCACACACACAAAAGTTACGGGATAGCCAGTGGCGCACAGGCACTAGAAAGAGAACATCCTGTATATGTATTCTCACCAAATTCTATATTTACCTTGCCCTTACATAAAAAAATAAGTGTATCAAATTTGAAGTTTCTAAGAAAAATAGTTTTCAAATTATTTGAAAAAAAACTAGGTTATCTATTCTATATTTAGAAGGCTATATCTCAATAGGCGTGCACTTTTGTATATAGGTAAGTTAGGCTAAATAGTCTTATTTTCATCCAAGGAACCTGTTGTCCATCCTTTTCAGGGACACCCTGTATATTTTTAGAAACTTGTTTATATGGAAAACATACTGTCCACCTTGTGTATTAAACAGACTTAAGTTTTGAATTTAAGTATTTTTAAGAAATGCCGTCTGCTATCTCGTAATTGCTATTTTGCTATTTTTGTAACAGAAGCGTTGTTTTTGCTGTATTCAATATAAATTGATATCTAATAAATGAGACTTGTTTGAAAAATATTATTCTCATTTTTGTCGTTAACATCATTTAGTGTTTAACTATAAAATAATTACTGACGTCAATTGGCAAAAACATTATTAAAAAACAAGTTTTTAACCTTGAAGCAGTCTCATCACCAGAAACTAGTTCGAAAGTAACATGTATCTTTAATCATCTCTTTATTTATGTATTTATTAATTTTTTTCTTGCACTAGACATCATAAACTTTGTGGCGATAATCAAATGAATAAACACTTGTGCCATACACTGGACCAATAAGCAAAGCGTCAAACTCACCGGGATTATTCACCGGCTCGCCAGGCCGAGAGGGCAGGCATTAGGGTGAAGATAGATATGTATCGAATAAATTGATCGACGCGAAGCTTCTGTTCAGCTTTTTCAATATACCTCTGTTGCTATCAGTTTCTTACATAAATTATTTATTATCAGGCATTGGGTACCGAATTGTCCTGGGATTGGCTCAAAGAGGATGCAGGGTTATCGTAGCTGACAAAATACAAGACCAAAATTTATTGGACAACATTTACAAAGAAACCCGAAGCAGAAACGTTGTCTATAAATATGTAGATCTGTCCTCGTTCAAGTCCGTTAGGGAGCTGGCGGATAATGTGATAAAAGATGAAGGAAAACTGGATATATTGATAAATAACGCAGGGATTGGAAGGAACGTGTCGTCAGTTACTGAAGACGGTTTGGACATAACCATGCAGGTGAACTACTTCAGTGCGTTTTTGCTGACACAATCACTGGAAGGTGAGCAACATTTTTTCCGTTAATAACACACACAAAAAAGTGGAAGACCTTGGTATCTATATATTTTTGGGGTCGCTGAATCCGAATCCCGTGTCTGTTTGACTCGATTAGCTCTGATTGAAATTCATTTCAAAGTCAAATATAGAGAATCTATTGCCAACAAAATAAACCTACATATCTATACGTTTTTGGGGTCGGTGAATCCAAATCCGGTATCCGTTTGATCCTATCAGGTCTGCATTAAGGTCAGTTCAAGGTCAAATGTAGAGATTCAATTGCCCACAAAGTAAACCAATATATACAAATATACGTTTTTGGGGTCAGTGAATCCAACTATTTTGTTGTCAAAAGAAGTGGATCTCTTTTAGGTACGTTTTCTCGATTTCTATGGTAAATCTCGTTTTAATGACCAGCAGTAATTGGCTAACATTTATTTTATTTATATCCCATTTGCCTTGGTACCAACGTTTCATTACCTTCTTAATATCTTTTTGAAATCTTTCCCTTTGCTCCTCATTATAATCACCCAAATATTCTGGGAAATAATCCACATGAGAATGTAAAAAATGTAATTTGAGATTCATTAAGCAGCCTAGGTTCTTTAAAGTTTTCTACCAAATTCGATACTATTTCTTTATAGTTTGGACTCTCGAAAATTTTCTATTAGTTCCTTAAAACATAGCAATGCTGCTTTGTCGTTTCATTAATTTTAGTAACAAATATGTGATCCTCTAACAAACACCTAGGCTGCTTAATGAATTTACCATTGAAATCGAGAAAACGTAAAAGGGATCCACTTCTCAGACCTTTTGACAATAAAATAATTGGATTCACCGACCCCAAAAACGTGTAGATATATTGGTTTACTTTGTTGTCAGTTAATTCTCTACATTTGACCTTGAACTGACCTTAACCCAAACCTGGTTGGGTCAAACGGATACCAAATTCGGATTCAGCGATCCCAAAAACGATAGATATATTGGTTTAAGATGTTGGCAATTGATTCTCTACATTTGACCTTGAATGACCTTAACCCAGAGCTAATCGGGTGAAACGGACACCGAATTTGGATTCAGCGACCCCAAAAACATATCAATACCAAAGATTTGTCTTTCAGATATTCCACTTTTTTTTTGTGGGTTTAATATTTTCCGCTATATACCTACGTATGTATTTATGTTTCAGGCTTACTGATGAAAAGTGGAGGTCGGATAATATTCACCAGCTCAGCATCCAATTACTTTCACTCGTTCACCTTAGACAAGCTAAAATCAGATGGATCCGAAACCAGACTCAATCATTATCCCAACTCGAAACTGTGCCTGATAATGATATCCGATATATTTGCGGAAAAATTGATGAAGTACGGGGTAACCAGCAATACCTATCACCCGGGAATAGTTTATACGGATATATTCAAAAGAAGTATTGGTCCAAAAAGGACAATTAACCAAAGTCTGTGTTTTATAAAAGCGTTGGAATACTTGTCATATTTCGTGGGAAAGGTGGGTTTTCATCCAATAAAAAAGGCTTTTCGCAGATAACTGATACAATTCCGCTGTAACTTCTTCTTTTTCAGACAGCTGAGGAGGGTGCTCAGACTGCCATTTATTTAGCCTGCGCCAATGAAGTGGAAGGCGTTACTGGGGAGTATTTCTTTGAAATGAAACCCACCTTCAAGCCCGGGCTAGCTCTGGACAAAGCAGTATGCAATGCTGTTTGGGTAGCGACAGAAGAAATCGTGAAGGGGAAACTGAATTAATTTTTTTAATATGAATTTAAATTATCTCGGTCGCTCAGTAGTACCTACTATTTTATTTATCGTGGAAAAGTAGGAGTTTGTTTACATAATTTTCAGTGAAAAATTGTGTTTTGTAAGAGCCTAAGCAATCAAATTTTGTCGTACGTTTTCATTAAAAAATTCTATCAGTAAGAACATTAGTTATTCATTTTCCAGACGACCCACATCTCCTCGATGTATTTAAAATTTGATTTGATATCACAATTTAGTTTTGAATAGGTTCATGTAACACTTGCTTCTTTTTAAAGTAATGTAATAATGGTTGTGGTTCCTTCGAAGTGTGCCTTATAAATTCTACGGGGTCTTGCAAGCGCTTCGATTGACACATACTGGTAGTTGGGATGCTAACTAGTTGGCGTCCAGGGGAGCCTCGACTTATTTCTGGTGACACTAGCTAATTGTTGAGGAAAGAATGATACATTTTTGCTACAATGGAAACGTATGGAAGGATATATCTTGAATCTTAAAGTTCGGGGCAGTGTAACCCCCCGGTGAGTTACTTGTTTGTTTGTTTTTATTGACAGAACAGTAACTTTGATATTTGTTTCATATACCCTCTTAATTTCTGGCGAATGACCCGGCTGTTGTCGAGATAAGTGCTTTGTAATGACCCATGTATAAAAGGTAACAATACCAACAGTAACATTTATTTTACATTCGTCTACCAAAGATTCTGCCACCGTCAATGACCAGTCACCATAACAACTATGGATTGGACGACTTAAAATATCTAGTAATGTTTTCCCAAAAATTTAAATACTTAGGCTTCCTTACGGTAGCCAGCAGTCAATCATGTGTTGGTACTAGTGACTTAAGAGTGACGTACTTTCTATAAATAAAGAACAATAATGTTACAGTAAATTACAGCAGTCTATCATTTTCTTAAACACAATTTTATGAAGATTTGAGAGAGTGACGCTATAGTAAATAATTACCAATTTTTGTAGCTGGTTTTTGACTAAAACTGACTTCAACTCTCATTTAGTTTCAAGCATTTTGGCAATAATCGTCTATAAATTCTCTAATTTGATTAATTTTCACAATAATAGTTTAACTTTAGATTTTTTGTCATTCGCTATAAAAAATTCGGTGACCGCCGAATAAGATTATTTTTAACTCTCACTGTTGTAATAAATTCCCCCAACACATTTTAAAAACGATTAATGTTACTTACGCCAATATATACGACTTTTTTGTCCATTTATGGTTAATCCATCTTATGCTGAAGTAGTGTCATTAAATTTTCCAACACATCTCCATAAAATTACATGAAACTGAAAATATTTTTTGTTCTTTATTGTAGCTAAGGTCCAAGACTAGATAAATCATAATCCCAGATTTGTATTTGTTTTCAAACAGTATGTTGAGAACGAGAGACACGTTTATAAAAGTTGTGTTATTTCATTTAATTTTAACGATCACTAGTCTACATTTATTCCTTTTGTTATTTTAAATACTACAAAATTGTTAATTATGTAAATGGTTTATTATTTTTCGATAAGAGTATGTTGCTGTTACGTCATAAACAAATCTAAATTATTATTACGTTACTTATGTGTAGACAGTTAACATGTTAAACAAGATAAATAAATCAGTGGGTGATTGCGATACATCGATTTTATATTATTTTCAACCTTGCACTCTAAATTAAACAAATCCACTCAACACTGACAACGAGTGGACACTTTCATCGGTCAAAGATCTTGTTTCATTTCAACTTTGTTATTCATCTGCTCTATCTTATTTGCTGAAGCTATGTTGGTCTTCGTAGAGCTAGTGCTTCTTCTTGTAGTACCAATCGCAATTGCGAAAATATATTGTATACTGACGCATAGGAATTGCAACAGCAAAGTATGTCTTGTCGGGAAAACCGCGTTGGTTACAGGAGGTTATTCAGGTAAATGTGCATAGATTTATTTACATACATTTTTGTCGCACTTTATTCAGTTTAGAACGACGTCAAACTTATGACAGGTATTGGGTACCAAATTGTCTTGGCATTGGCTCAAAGAGGATGCAGGGTTATCATAGCTGATAAATCACAAGACCAAAATTTATTGGAGAAGATTTACGAGGAAACTAGAAGTAGGAACATTGTCTGTAAATATGTAGATCTGTCCTCATTCAAGTCTGTCAGGGAGCTGGCGTATAATGTGATAAAAGATGAAGGAAAACTGGATATATTGATAAACAACGCAGGGATTGGAAGGAACGTGTCGTCAGTTACTGAAGACGGTTTGGACATAACCATGCAGGTGAACTACTTCAGTGCGTTTTTGCTGACCAGATCACTGGAAGGTGAGCAACTTTATTCGTCAATATGTTTCTATTAAACAATTTAATGTTTATTCATGTTTCAGATCTATTGAAGAAAACTGGAGGCCGGATAATATTCACTGGTTCAGGAAGCAGCCACATTCACAACTTCACCATAGACAGGCTGAAACCAGACGGATCGGAATCCTTCACTTTTTACACTTACTTCAATTCTAAATTATGCTTGATAATGATATCGGATACGTTTGCGGAAAGACTGAAGGGATATGGGGTAACCAGCAACGCTTATCATCCTGGACTAGTCCGCACTAATATATTCAGAAGCGGTATTAATCTCGAAGGAACAATTAATAAGGGTTGGTTTACGATAAAGTTCCTGGAGTACATGTCATTTGTAGTGGGAAAGGTGAGTGTGACTGAAGAGAAAGTCTTTTCGTAGATAAAATTCCGCATATTTCAGACAGCTGAGGAGGGTGCTCAGACAGCCATTCACTTAGCCTGTTCGAATGAAGTGGAAGGTGTGACTGGAGGGTACTTCTTTGAAACGAAACCAACCTTCAGGCCCAAAATAGTCCACGACAAGAAAATGTGCAACGACCTCTGGGAAGCGACAGAGGAAATCGTGAAACAAAAGCTGTCCTAATTATTATTATATACGAGTAGTTTTAGCTGTTATTTGTGGTAATGCAAGAAATAAAAACAAACATTTTTTTGTTGAAGAAAATAAACGAAGATAAAACCTTTTCATTTTCTTGTATTTGGAATGCAAATATTAAGAAATAATAGAACAAATCCAACCTTCATCATCAAAAAAACGTCATCCGATGATTCTATAAAGTATACAGGATATGTCCAACTCTTTCTTCATAAGAAATGCTATTTATTCCAGAATGTTTTAACATTCACGTTCTTTTTTACAAAGTGGTTTTCAGCATGCAGAAGCAGCACTAAAGTGCAGATCTTTTGGTTTTAAAACGTCAGCAAAATAAACCTAAATAAATATTTTCATTTTTATTTTGTGTATCATAAAATGACCAAATAAAAGTTAATGTATGAAGCTTGCAAATCTGATACATTCGAACAACAGACGTGCCTCAGAGTTCGATATTTGGTCTACTAGTTTTTATTCTTTTCATAATTGATATCGCGAATAATTTTGAGACACAAACAGGTGGTTCTTTTATATTTCACATGTCGGAAACTTGTAGGAATATTCCTGTCAAATCAAGACTTAAGTAGGTAGGTAACTATGGAAAAAACTAGATTTCATAAATACATCTGATCTAATGTTAGTTGACTTGAAAAAAATATATTTTGCACGTGTCACAATTTAGTACAATAATTAGAAAACAACGGAATTATCAATAACATCGTTTTTAAGATCTTCATATTAACTTTTGAAAAAAAAGCAAAAATTATAAATGATATTAGTTCCACTGAGGTAAACTGTAGTTGACTTACTAATTTATGGCATCCTGTATATGTGCGACTGTTCCAAATTTCTTCATTTTTATATCTCTGGCCTCATAAACAACAACAACAACAACAACACCAGCAGCAGCAGCGACAACAACAACAGTAGTTCACCCCTAAATCTGTAAAGTGTTTACAACGGTGGTCATGGTTACTGTCGCGCAGAAGTGAAGGACGAAGTGAGAGTGGCGCATATTTACTATGCAGTTTGGGCTCTGTTTATTCAGGCCGTAACCAAATAATAGCTATTCCCCGCTTTTTTTTAATTTTCAAACGTAATTTGTTTACGTGTGGTGTAACGTATCGTTTCTAATGTGTTTTTTAAAAGAAGTTTAAATTAGATTGTAAAGACAGACTAACAGCACTTGCAATCTTTTGAAAAATCAGTGGTGCGAGAAATACCAAACTTTAATGAAAAAGTAATTGAAAAGTTTATTTCGGACAAAAACACTTTCCCTATATTTTTATAGTACTTAAAATAAAACTATCCAATTATATTTGTTTTTTTTTTCACTATCGCCACTGTTATTATGCCATTTCTATGTAGACATAATATATTAAATAAAACAAGGAAAATCCATTAAATCAGTAGGTAGTAAAATACTTATCATTTTCATTTACAAGATTTTTTACCTTGTTAAATTTGATAAAATCGGCTGGACATAGGAAAGAGTTTCATCCCATTTTTTGCCATTTACCTGCTCTGCCGAATTCTTTGAGGATGTGGATGTTACTAGCGCTAACACTTTTTTTCATATGGCCCTTAGCGATTTTAAAAATAACGTTTTTATTAATGCATAGAGATTGTAAGAGTAAAGTATGTTTGGTCGGAAAAACCGCACTGGTAACGGGAGGAAGTAGAGGTGAGTGAGCGCAGAGTTTTTTTTATATATGTATATAATATAAATCTCTCTTACATTCACAAACAGGTATTGGCTATGAAATTGTCCTGGCGTTGGCCCAAAGAGGATGTAGGGTTATTGTAGCTAACAGAACTATAGACGAACATTTATTAGAGGATATTCATAATAAAACCAGAAGCAGAAATGTTGTTTTGAAATACGTAGATATGATTTCGTTAAAATCCGTGAAGGAACTAGCGAATGATGTAATAAAAAATGAGGGAAAACTGGATATATTAGTCAACAACGCAGGGATCGGGAGCAATGTGTCGGCCACTACTGAAGACGGTTTGGATCTAACCATGCAAGTCAACTACTTCAGCACATTTTTGTTGACACAATTACTGGAAGGTGAGAAATAGTATTTTTCTTTTGGAAACAGTCATAAAATGTTGACATTTCTAAGTATCAAAAAACACTTTAGTTAATTGGGACGAAATAGTTATTTACACCATAATCGAGAACGATTTTGCAGCTGAGCGGAGCGAGTCCGAGACTGGTTTCATTTCCTGAAACAAAATAGGCTAGCATTACCTTTTCTGTGATATTTTCAAAATTGTTATTGTTACACCAGACTGTCTTTGTACTTTTCGGAAGTCATCGCTCTTCCCAGTAGTGAGTTCTAGTGAGGTTAAAACTTTGTAGAAACCCAAACAACCACACTAAACAAAAGATATTATTCAAAATTTAATTTTATTATTATTTTTTTCAACAATAAATTATAATCGTGAAATGTTGAGGCACAATTTCGGAATATTTGGAATTATCTTATTATGATAGCAATTTTGTAACACCTTGGGACCTTTTCATAAAGTGGTGTTCAAATTGACTCGTTATTGTGTACTGTTGGTTGCCTGTACTTAAGGCGATAAAACTGATCTTATTTCTTTCCTAACGTGTTACTTTGCCTACTTTTATACTTAAATATCTATCAAAATTTTTAATATGGCCACTTTTTATTATTGTTATTATAGTGAAGTTAAATTATCTACTATTTATTAGGTCTGAAGAATTTGTATAGACTACTTTAAATTTTCTTATGGTACCTACAGGTTTTTTATGACTTTTGAGATTGTATTTATTATTCTCTTTTGCTAGCTTGTTTTATCTTACAAGATTTCGTAATTCTTTGTGCACACAGTTACCCCCATTTTAATACTAACAATTTTTCTTTTTACTCAATTTTTTTTAAGTTTTACAATAATTATTTCAACCTTCTCTCTTCACATTGTTTTAGTCAAGTCAAATTTTAATTTAAATTTCTATCAATACTTTTATTTCATCTCAATTTATTCTTTAATTGTTTGTTTTGGGCATCATATTAAAGTCAGTAAGTGTTCGTTACTGGTTGGGGATATGTTTTTTCCAAGTTAAAATGTTAATTTATGTTTCAGAATTACTGAAGAAAAGCCGGGGCCGGATAATATTCACCAGCTCGTTGACTAGTTACCTCCATAACTTCACTATAGACAGACTAAAATCGGATGGGACCGAAAAGAGCAATTTCTTTTCTTATCCCAATTCTAAGTTATGCTTGATAATGATATCGGAGGCATTCGCGAAAAGACTGAAGGAATATGGGGTTACTAGCAACGTCTATCACCCCGGATTGGTTGATACAGAAGTATTCCAAAGAAGTATTAATTTGAAAAGAAGAATAACTTACAGTTGGTTTATAATAAAGTTGTTACAGAGTCTGGCAGTTTTAGTGGGAAAAGTGAGTTCCTATTCAGCCTCGCGGTGCCCATGTATGACCTTTGATCTTTTTTTTAAATATTTCAGACTGCCGAGGAGGGAGCTCAGACTGCTATTCACCTAGCATGTGCAAATGAAGTTGAAAACGTAACCGGAGAATACTTCTTCGAAACGGAACCAACCTTAAAGCCCAAACTAGCTCTCGACAAAAAAATGTGCGACGCCGTTTGGGAAGCCACAGAAGAAATCCTGAAGTCGAAACTATAGTAACTTACCTTATTTTGTGACTAGTGGAATATTTCAATCAAGCATTATGTAATTTTTTGCGCAATCGTTTTTTTTTGTTTATTTAAATTATCTGTTGTCAATGCGGTAGGTTATGTTTACTGGTTATACTAAGCCTAACTAGGTCTGTAAGTAATTTACGATGTCTGAACGATAAGGACGATTAACATACGTTGTTTCGCGCAAGGCCAAAAAATAAAGAAATTGTGATTTATTTAAAGAACAACGGTGCATATATATAAACATATAAAAGCGGATAAGCGTATTGTAAAAGGCAATTATGAACCAATAAATTATTATGTTTTCATCTTTTGTGTTATTTTAGCTACATCCCTTCAAATAGATTGTAGAAAAATCTGTTATGAAAATTGTGTACAAAATGTCGTTCCGCAAAGCTCGATGAACACAACATATTATTTTGTTTAAACTGTTGCTGTCCGAAAATGGAAAGGGTTCGTATAAATGCAGCATCCAAAAATATACTATGTGAATGGTTTTCCCATATATAAAATGTATTATTAATACAGGTTGTCCCAGAATATGTGGGCAATCTCTCGGTTTTGTACAGGGGCTGGTAAAATAACATGATAAGTTCCTATAAAAATTTTCCCTACAAAGATATAGGCCCCTGAAAATCGATTTTTTGAAATAACTTTTAAAATACTTTGAGTAAAAAACAAAGGAAAAGAAAGTGTAAATAAAAGTGGCAGAGATAGGCACAAAATATCAACCAAGAGTACCTTTTTTTTTAGTTTAAGGTTCAAGCTATCTAAAAATATTATTTCTGTGTCTTTATCGTACAGGGTGTAAAAAATTGACATTACTGTGCTACAGCTAGTCCGTCCATAGCAAACCAAATAAGCCAAATTGTTTTCATGGATCAATTTTTAAAGAGTGTTGTCTGTTGTCCATCATATTAAAAAAAATTGTTAAATTACACAAAGTATTTTAAAAGTTATTAAAAAAAAACGATTTTCAGGGGCATCATTTAGGGGCCTGTATCTCCGTAGGGGGCCCTCAAGGGAATATTTTTTATAGGAACTTGTTATGTTATTTTAACGCCTTCTTTATAAATCCGAGAGATTGCCCACATATTGTGGGACACCCTGTATGTCTCGACTCGATGTAAATAGAAATATATATCACATTGTTGCACGACTGGTGAAAGGTGCCCCACGCCCGAAGTTTATTTAAATTTATCCATAAAATTACCATAATGATTACTATTAACAATGGCGTCACAAAAAAAGTTAATACTTTCAGAAAAAGAGAAACATAAAAAAATACTTATTAAACAATATTTTAAACTGATTTAAAATTAAATTAATTTTACTAGAGCAAAAAAGAGTGCTGATGAAATAATTTCCGGCGATCGGTAAATACACATTTCAAAAGCGAAAATGACCGTTCGACCGAGGTCACAAGCGCATATCTAAAATAGTAGAAGTTTTTAATAGATGCTATTTTTACTAATGGTGGAGAAGCATCAACTACTTCACGTTTTAGTAATCACAATAACGTGTACACGTCTGCCTCTGATGTGAAGCTTCGCATCGATCAATTTATTCGATACGTATCTAGCGCCACCCTAATGCCTGCCCTGTCGGTCTGGCGTGCCGATGAACAATCCAGGATTTTTGCCCCTGCAAATATTTGCCCACATACCAGTAGAAAATATTTAATAAAATTATAGTAAAATTAAATAAAATATTTTAAACACAATTTGTTGGAAACAATGTAGCTGTCAGTATTCCAATTGCATACATTTTTTTTCTGTGTAATGCAGATAATGCAAATAAGTTTCCTTAATTGGAACACATGACACAAGTATTTATCTATTTAGTAAATACCTTCACGACCTTCACCAGTTGGTTCCGCATTATCAGTTTCACTTTTGCATTGACAAGCATTTGCGCTGTTTCTCTAAAGAAGTATGTCCATTTTTATAATATTGGCAGCTGCTATAATACCGATCGTGGTTCTTAAATTATACTTCGTATTAAGCCACACCGATTGCAAGAGTAAAGTATGCTTGGTGGGAAAAACTGCCCTGGTCACTGGTGGAAACGCAGGTGAGTATGTGGAATATTTAATATAAAAAAGAAATTGGATAGTGAAATCGGGCTTAAATCTTTCATAGTAACTATAGCGCGAACATTAAAAAAGTATCTTTAAAATTAGCAGAAATGTAGGAATATTTCGAAAACTAAATCTGACAAATATTTTTCAACAGGTATAGGGTACCAAATCGTTCTTGGACTTGCCCAGAGAGGCTGCAGAGTTATCATAGCGGATAAAACGCGAGACCAAAATCTCCTAGACAATATCTTCAAGGAAACTCGAAGCGGAAACGTAGTTTTTAAATATGTAGACCTAGCCTCTTTTAAATCAGTTAGAGAACTAGCTAGAGATATAGCCAGAGATGAAGAAAGACTGGATATACTGATAAATAATGCAGGCATCGCAAATGTTTTTCAGGTGACAGAAGACGGGTGCGACGAGATCCTGCAGGTGAATTATCTTAGCGCGTTCTTGTTGACGCATTTGGTTTTGGGTGAGTTGTCCCGCTTCATTTTTCACGTAACGACTTGAACATTTCTTTCAGACCTGATGAAGAAAACGGGGGGTCGTATCATATTCACCGGCTCAATCCTGTCACACATTCACGACTGTTCTGTGGAAAATTTAAGAAAATTGTACAAGTTCAAGGACTATAATTTCCACTATCGAAACTCGAAATTTTGTTGCATAGCTGCGGCCGGTGTATTTGCTGAAAAGTTAGAGAAATATGGAATAACCAGCAACAGTTACCATCCTGGGCTAGTATATACAAATATTTTTCGGACTGTCGATTCAGGATCGATTATTCTACGCCTTGGTACAAAGTATTTCAAATGGTTGTGTTTCTTGGTGGGGAAAGTGAGTTTTTCGCAACATACAATATGCGGCACTATAATTTTTTAACGTTTTTTAGAAGGCAGAGGAAGGAGCCCAGACAGCCATCCACTTGGCTTGCGCGAATGATGTTCAATATATCACTGGGGAGTTCTTCTATGAAACGAAAGTTACCTTCAGACCCAGACTATCTCGTGACAAAAAACTTGTGCAAGCTATTTGGGAAGCGACTGAGCAAATGGTTCGGTTGGAACAAGATGAAAAACTGTAGTTTTTACCTCGAAGACTGGATACAAGTAAAAATTTAAATGGTAAGGTAAGGTAACTATCAGCACCAGAGCAATGAAAGGGTGCAACAATGTATTTAATAAATAATAAAACTTTTATAAATAACTTAAATAATCAGTATAGATTATTTATCATTTTTTTGGATGCCTTCTTCGTTGGCTGCTCGGTATCACATTCCTTCTCAAAATCTACTCCTACGCTCCTACAGAAGGGGTTTCCTAAAACCCGGTGCCAGATTTTGGGAAATCTGCAAACAGGACCACAGCCTACTCTCTACTACGTAGGGAAGAACCTTGGCCACTTGCATGGAACCCTGAAGAAAATTGTATATTTTTAGTGTTGAAATCAGTAAATGAATGTTGAAGAAACATTTACCAAGAACTTTTTCTTCCTGCCAGGTTCCTGCCTGAAGTACACAAGGGCGTCATCAGGAACGGTTATCCTCTCATGGTCCTTGCCAGGTGTTAAAGACTCAAAGCGGCTCGGGTGGCAATCCAGATCCAACCGGATGGTTCCCGTACGGAAATCGACAGACACTGAGATCCAGGTCCATGCTGAAAACGACAATCACGTTAAAAGAAATAACTTGGTGGTTTTTTGTAACACTTACCAGCCAAAGGCGACTTCCTGTGATGTTTCGGCAGACCCCAGTCTATCTGTCTCAGTCTGTTCGATCCCTGCACCCTATATTTCAAAGTCAAACTCCCGGTCTTGGAGTTGGACGTGAGCTGGAACCACGGGGTCAATCTACCGGGTGAGTTCACCGAGACGAGCGTCCCTAAGTTGTTCTTCTGCTGCCTCACGAGGAACACCACGGTGAAACCGTTGGGGTTGTTCATGGCGGCGGTGACGGCCGTCGAGTTTGGCAGCGGGACATTGCCGTACGGCAAACGGAACTTGTAGGCGGGGAATTTCCTGATGGGGCCCTCCACGAGAGAGACTCCTTGGTCTTTGGCCGACACGTTTATTAGTTTGATGATGTCCACTTCATCTGAAATGCAAATTCGTTAGAAGCTACAAACTATACCTTTTAATGAGAATTAATTCAAAGCATTTCGTTATCACACGAGACTACACATTGTTGTATCTTGTTTAAGCTAATGCTCTCTATTCAGTAGTTCTCGAACATAGTTTTAATGTCAAATAGAAACTTTCCAATGCTTCGATGTCGAACAAGGTCGTAAAATATAGGAATGTCATTGGAAACACAACAACAGTTTTCTGAATGTAGGCATGTATAACTTTATTCCTCAGTTGGAGAGCTCCTATATGCTCCAATACACTTGGTTCAGTACAGCAGTATCCGCCACGCGCAAAACTTGCATGTCTACCGCGGCGTGTACGGACGGCTTTAGAAGCTATTCGCGTGAGAAACGACGAATGTTACATAAGAAATTAAATAAACTTACGAATTAGCTCGCTAGCTGGGGATTTGGGATGCTCTTGATGATTCTTGTGGGCGTAATTGTCTATTTCATTTTCCGCTGGGTCGACCGCGTTGACCGTCAGGTCGAACAAGCAACAGCACAAACCAAGCCATATCAGCAACGGAAACCTCTTCATATTTCGCTAGAAACAGCATATCGAATAGAAATGGCGTAATTTCACGCACAAAGTTAAGTCACGAAAGCGGCAATAAAAGTAATTATTACCAACGGATTAGAAAACAAAATATGACAAGAATGAAAAAAGATAAAGTAAATGTTTCTAAATAAATACATTGTTTAATTCATAACAAGTGGAAAAACTTATCCAAACTGGACTGTCGCAACTTACTGGCTTAGATACGGTTCTATGGTTAGTTTTTAAATTGGAATTTCAAGCAATTACATCTAGAACATTTTACGCGTAATAGACTAGAACTTGTTTATTGTATCCTTTGCCACTAAAGATTTAAAATACCGCTTTGAGTTCTATGAAATATATCGCTGCGAAATAACGCTTCATGTGATACAGACATAAGGTCACAACGAATTACATTAAATAATAAATGGCAATAACTTATCTGAAGAAATGTTATCTAAATATTTATAGCTTGTAGGAAATGTCTAAAAGTGTAGTAAACAATATAATAGTAGCCTTTGATAACAGCGTAATTAAATGTCGATTGAAAACACTGCAAAGTACCTCCCAACATTGATTTTCGGTTTTGCACTTTTATTTTTACAAAACTTACTACCGACATCGCTCAATCGCGGTTGCAAATCAAATCGCAGGTACTATATTGATTAACAGCAATTAATGATCGCATGTTTACGTAATTCATTCTTATCGGCATTACCGCAAAAAAATAACACTTTTAGCAATGTTTACATCGACACACATTACTTTATATTAAACACAGAGGTAATAGTTAATAGGACTCACGTGTTATAGTGTGCGACGCACAGTTATCCTCAGTAAACACTTCTGGTAGAGTGCATTGTAGAGCGACACAAACAAAACTTCACTAGTGGAACGATACGCTGACTGGCTGGCGCTTAATTTGCTTGGTTTGGCGGCGTCTGCAAAGGGATAGTCTTCGCCGGAGAAAAGCAGCGGCGCAGGCTCCGACCGTATCGACCCCTGGGCCGAGCGGTCGGTAAAGCCGTTATCGACTGTTTTTGGTCGTTCGCTAATTTCAAAATTTCATCTACACTGTTTCGTGAGGTCTTAAGTCTCTCCTATTTAAAACTGAAACATTTTCCTAATTTTAGGCGTAAGCGTCCGGCTTTAAAATTGAGAAAGGGTACGAAAAAAAAAGTTTGATAATTTTTTTTTATAAAAGACTGCAAAATCAACCTCAGACAAACGCGTTTAACAAAATTTTGCAAAAGAGGCACAAAAATTTCATAAAAAAGGGAATTTTTCAGTCAATATAGCAGAAAAAGAAATGTTGAAGAACAATTATTTATCAATTTTAACAGATTTTTTGCTACGGTTGTGGAAAAAATGCCTTTTATCAAAAAAGGCAATTAATTATAAATTAACAGTAATTAGTTTTTTTATTAATTAAAAAGTATTTCCAGTAATCAAATTATAACGCTCATTAGAGTGAAAGCTAAAGTCAGTCACTCTTTAAATTGACGTTAGACATATTTAGAAAAAAATCTAAAAATCTGAAAAGAAATCTGGAAAAACAAATAACGAGCGTTCAAATAAAAACGTGGTCGAAGTTGGCTCTGACACATTGGACGTAGGGAGTAGCTTATAGCGACCAACTTAACCTCATTTCTCAACGAGCTGTATAGCAGCTGTCAGTTTCAATAACGTTAATGACTATATAACTTTATTTTAAAGAATAATCGTGATAACAATAACAAACAATTAAAGGAGCTGCGGAAAGTGTCCCCCTCCTTGTTATAACAATAAATTAAAGCAGCTGCTGAAAGTGTCCCCCTCCTTGTTCCAAGCACTTTTCACACCTGTTCCTCAAAGAATTAAAGACATTTTCTAAGATGCTCGGGGTATTGTTAATTTCACGAATCTTGTCTATAAGTCGAGCCTGCAGATGGTTTAAATCAGGAATAGGCAGTTCAAAAATAGTGTTTTTAAGGTAAGGCCACAAAAAGAAATCACACGGCGTAATATCACATGACCTCGGTGGAAATTCATGTTCAGCATTGAGACTTATTAGTCGATTTTGGAAAACTTCCCTCAACATATTCATCGTCTCGCCTGCCGTATGTGCCCTTGCGCCATCTTGTTGAAAGTAAAAGTTTGTAATTTCGTTTTCTTCCAGCTGGTTAACAAAAGGAGCGATAATTTCTTCTCTATACCTTTGCGCAGTAAGAGTACCATTAAAAAAAATAGGTCCATAAATCCTCCTTCGATTGAGAGCACACCAAACTCCAATTTTTTGAGCGTGTAGAGGGCCCTCGACAAAAAAGTTATCTGGTTTTTCAGAAGACCACATTCTCATATTCTGTGAGTTTACGTAACCACTTAAATGAAACCAGGCTTCATCAGAAAAAAAGGTGATATTATGAAGTTCACCGTAGTTGTTTAAAAACCATTCACAAAATACAGCCCGTCGCGGAAAATCAACTTCATGAAGTTCTTGCTGACAAGTTAAACGATAGGAGAACAAACGCAAATCTTTTTTTAACACTGTGTGGCAGGTACCGACTGATACTCCCACCATTTGTGATAAAACACGTACAGAAGTTCTTGGCGCATTTTCCATTATTTGTTGGACATTTTCTTTTAATTCTTCAGTCCGCTTTTTAGGTCGGCCGCTTCCTTCTTTTCTTGTTACACTGCCCGTTTCACGAAAAACATTAACACAACGCTGAACTGCACTTTGAAAAATTTTGTACTCAACAACGCCGGGAAATTGATTTTGAAATTCTATGAAACATTCCTCAATAGAATACTTCCATATTCCATCAATCTTGCGTCCATTTCTAAAGTAGGACTCTATGATAAACACTTTTTGTTCTTGAGAAAACACCATTTTAAACGCTTTTTAAAACGAAAATATTCAAATTGATAGCGGCGATATAGCGCTTTGACAGATGACGTTTAAGTTCATTTGCTATACGCTACGCCCTACGTCCAAATTTTCAGAAAAAACTTGACCACGTTTTTATTTGAACGCTCGTTATTTTCGACTAATATTTGAAATTATCAGTTTTTGTAAAGATATTTAGCCGTTATTAACAGAATAAGAGAATTTTATTAAATTAGATTGTAATTTAATAAAACGGAAACTAATTACTTGTTAATTAATCCTCTTTAACGGACAAAAACACTTAATACACCAGAAAATCTACTTAACGACGGTTCCGTCAGCAGGTGGAAGTTGCGCAAGCGGCAGAAGGAAACTGCCACCGAGTCAGCCGAGCTTGTCGTGTTTAGGTGCCAGCTATTGCACTAGACGCATGAAAAAGTGTCTCTGTCAGGAATTACATTATCGACGGACGATACTTTTTGCACGCTGAGTTCGCGCTTTCCGTGAAATGCGGTTGTGACATTTCTGCTTCGCAACAGCAGTCGATTTCTACGCCATTCTAATCCCATCGCGATTCGGATAGAATCGACCTAAAGTTAGGTTTACACATACATACTTGTCGCTTAAGTACATTAATATTTGACAGTTAATGACATATTTCTCTGAGCGCAGTATAACTTTAAGGGAAAATGTTTATACAGAAACCAATTTTAAGACTTTCAAAAACGCATGTCATAAGATTGTTTTCTCAAATTCCGTCAGGAATACATTTTTAAATTTCTTTTTCGTAATTGGAAGCTACAGCATTCGTAGCTGTCACTTCATCTTTCTTGATTCGTGTACATGTGTATCATACTACAGAAATTTAACAGTGAAGACACACAACCACATTGCAACTGATATTCACAGACTAAACACAGTGCTTCAGATAATAACAAATACTATTTATTAAAAACTTGAATTTTTGTGTTAGTACGCCAGTGTTCGGTGAATTCTACACATGGTACTGAATGAGTTCCATGAAGCCGACCCCTCTAGACTCCTTGTCCTTCTTCAACTGGGTTTCCCTAGGTACCATGTTCCTCTGTGCGAAGGAGAAATGAGTAGTAGAATCCACTTTAGACTCAGCCTTAGATCCCGGCATTATAGACTGCCTCCTGTTTATTTTCTGGAAAACAACAGCACAGTTACAAGATCCAACCCTGAGGAATACCTTCACTCACAGATTTCTTCTCCATATCCTCAATCCTGACCCCGGGCATCACCAGCATCCTCCTCGAAGAAGGCATCACCGCCATCATGCGGAACAGGTGTGAAACTTCGTCCTTCATCTTTGCGCTGGTCATCATTGCCACTATGTTCTTCTCTCGCTTCTCTAGCACCTTCATGGCTTGCGTCTCGTCGAACTCCAACCGGTCTATCACGTCCAGGCACTGAAAAGTGGAGGAATATCACGACGGACTAAGAATCAATGGCACTCACCTTGTCCAAGTATTCTTGCAGGTTGGCGTCGTCTAAACTTTGACATATTTCCAAAGCGGAAAGAATTTCGCTCTTGGCGTCGTTCTTGTTGTGTTGCGAGACGTTTATCTTAGCCAGCAGCATCGTCCCGTTGATCACCCACTCCATGTTCTCCGCCTTATAGCCGTCCTGGATGCACTTCCTGGCGTACACAGTGGCCATGTCCCACCGCTTCAACTCGATGTGGAAGCGCGACAATTCGTGGTAGCACCAACACGTCTCGTTGTTGCAGATGGCGTTCTGAAGACGCTTCTCGAAGGTATGGATCAACTTCCTGAAAATTGTAAGAACATGGTTCTTGAATTTAAGTTGGAATTAGGAGAGACACTGACTTGTAGTCGATGAAAACGTTTCGGAACTGTTCGACGACGGAATCTGAGGACGGTGATCGACTCACTGGCAAGCCGAACGCCACAAATATCCTCTTCTCCTGGTCCCAGAGGAACTGTTCCTTGTTGAGCCTGTTGAGGTCATAGAAGCCACGACACACGCATCTGTATATTTCTTGCAAATAGAAATCCTTGTCCATTAATAACCGCTTAGATTTAGAATCGCAGTACATTTTCAGTTTTTCGACAACGTCCAGCATAAGACGAAGATTCTTGGTTTTCAGAGCTTCCTGCATCTTGGCCAGAAGGACGTCCGCTTCCTTCTTGGCATTTTGCTGTTGGGTGTTTAGTTCTTCCTCTTGTCTAGCCTTTAGGGCGCCGGATACTGTGGCCTCTTGATATTTAATAAAGTAAAAAGGTCTTCTGGTTCTTAAAAGATCCTGAAACAGTGGGGAATTGAACCGAAAACTAACCTCCTCTTCAAGACTTACCTGTTTATAACTGACGATCTTGTATCCAGTTTTCGCCAGCTGGTTTATTATCGCGGACCCCTTCTGGTTGGGGCAAATGGCGCCCGGCTGTGTCCTGAGCTTCTTCAGGAAGATCTTGTCCAGGTACATGGAATCCAAATACTTTTCCGCCATGTAATTCTCAATATTCGTCGTGTAGTTCTGTAGGGGTTTGAATTTAAACCCCTGACCGAAAGGGGGGATCCGATTTTCTTCGGACTTTTGGCTGTGCAGACTATCTTTAATGCCTAGAAGAACAAGACCGTGTTCGGAAATTTACAACAGAACCAATGATAATTACTTAGAGGTTTATCTTCGCCCTCCTTAGCTATTTCCAATTTCGAAATGCCTTTCTTCAACTTTCCTTGAATGATCGGTTCTTTTGGTTCCCTGATGAAAGCGAGCTTCGTCTTCTTCTTCTTCTTCCTTCTGGGTTTGGGCTCGAAAGGTTTTTGGGCCTCGTAGTTTCTCTTCCAAGCCAACCGCCTGATGAAGCGGAAGTGATCACGCAGAGGTCTTCCTGCTCGCTCGCCGACACAATTTTCGATGGCGTTCGAACACTAGAGACAACCGATTTACGTTGCAATGTTAATCCGGACTTCTTTGGGCAAATTTTAAACTAGATAAGGCTTATTCTGAGTTATAAGTATTTTATATTAAATGAATGGATTATTATTATACACAATAGTCAGTATCATCATGAGAAACCACTTCCAGTTTGATCACCAGGACAAAAAAATTTGGAATAGAGCTAAGTCTAGTTAAATCTAGTACTGTGGTAACTCCAGGTACATCGAATACCGTGACATTCTGTATGTTTACATTTAAGATTAGAAAAAATTAAAAAGAGCTCACGTGCATGACCCCCATGGCGAAGTTTTCCGGTTTTTGCCTTATGGGAAGGAGTCTAGTATTCTGCAGCAGACCTTCCTCGAACTCGCAACTGAGATAAGTGTTCAAAGCCTTCTCTGCAAGCACGACCAAGTCGTCGGGGTTTATTTTCAACGCCTTGTTGATATCGTCGATAGACCCTTCGTACAGACACGCTTTCGCCCGCGCCCTAGACCTCCCTATGAGAGCCCTTTTGTCTAGAGGGGTATTCTTGATGGCCTCGTCGAAGAACTTCAAAGCTGTTCAGAATTTCCTTCATGTAAATTAGGGATATGAGTAGTTTTCGATACCTACACCTCTCATACTGCTCTAGCCTGGATATGTAGTAGCCCAGCTCTCGGAACAGGGTCTGGAATCCGTAGATTTCATCTTTCTTGCCGAACTGTGCTGGCGTCGCCATTTGGGACAATGTCGACGGACTGGCTTCACTCTCGCAATTTTCTTATCACTTTACATGAGGTTCCGATGTGGTTTTTTAAAAAATACGCGTTTGTGGAGATCGAAACTTAATTAAATTCAAACGTCTGTCATTAGTGTCGAATTTCAATAACGATTGTTAGATGACATGATTTTGATTTCTTCGAAAGAAACGGAAATATTTAGTAAACGACCTTTTGCTAAATCAGTACCTGTACCAGTATATAAGTCTCTTATTTGTAATTTAAAATCGCATCTTGGGAAAGATTTAATTTTCATTAAAAAAATTATGGAATTTGTATGTCTTTTAAGTTAGATTTGATACAAAATAATTGCACGAGTATATTTTGAGTTAGCTCAGTATTTCTTAAGATACATTTCTACATAAAGTTAGGTTAGATTATAGTGGGATCATATTCAATGCAAAGTAATAAATCATTGCCTGTCAAGGTATTCAGTGCAATACGGTTTTAAGGGGTTTAAAAATTGAATAATTTCATGCATGAATACAATATTCAAGATCTATATCTTCTCTAGGTAAGTAAAATAAGCAATATATAAAACGTAAATTTGAGCCATTATATACGCCATTTCTTGGTTAAGGGCAGACTATTCTAGGGTTGACTTTATAATTTTGTTCGCCCACATAGTCCAATTGTAAACGTGATCTGCAAACCCAAAGCGTAAACTATGCCAATAAGAATATTTTGCAGCAGTTTTGCGTATTGGGGTTAATATTTTCCGTTTAGAAGACACAAAAATACTTGATATGTTCCTCCTCTTTAGACAAATTTAGTCGTATTACTATATTTTCACCAAAAGAAGCGCTAGGAACAGGTAGTGGCTTGGATATGGAAACATTACACGCACAGGTAAATAATAACAGAACATTTATTTATTCTTTACATATAGTGCGGTTTTTGTGTACATAAAATATTAACATTTATTACAACATACCAAAAATTAACAAATGTGACACTCGATTAAAATCATGTCTTATAAAAAACTTAATGAAACTTAGGTATAATCCATTCGGTGAAGGTTTTCAATCAAACAATATTAGAAACATGTTATTTTAGGCTGTAAAAGGAACTTATTCTTATTGCCTTATGCTTCATAATTGTAGTAATTCGTTTTGATTTCATCATTACCGACGACGATATTGAAAAAGTTCAGTCAACACTTAATTTCTTGTTCATTCATACGTAAATAGAGTAGGTACCGTACTACAAACTCTGTAGAGGAAGAGCAATATTAAAGGAGCGTTCAGACCGACACAAATAAAAAATTGTCGTTAGAAACGCAAACTTATTCGTGTCAGTCTGAAATTTCGTTTCTCAAATTTGTCAACCTCTATATAACTTAAAATAGTTATTTACACCATAAAGGAGGTGTATTATTCATCAGTCGAGGACGATTTTGTGCGCGAGCGGAGCGAGGGCTGGCAATAGAGTCCGAGACTGGTAAATTATACTTAACTGCTGCGTGGTGTATAACATTTTTTCTGCTCCCACAGTTCATGAAATAGAGATTAGGTTTTATTTTTTGACATTTCCTAATCAATTCGAAACCTTGTAAAGTCTCCTTGGTTGTTTGGATTTTGTCGTTTCTAAGGTGTTTTTAAACAAAGCTACATAAAAGTTGCAATTTTGTTGGTTTTAAATTATTATTTCTAAATTAGTGATTTTCAAATAGAAAGTGCGAATTTTTATTGCCCGAATAATGAATACTCAATGGTTAAGTCAACTATTTTCATAGAGGAGAACGTAGATATATCAAAATACCCCAAGCTGTGAGCATTTTTGAAACGTAAAAATGACGGCTAAGCACCTAAAAAGTCAAACGCTTTTACAAGAGAATAAGTCAACGATTTTCTATGATCCCTAATAAGCTTGCACAGTTTTTGAAACTAGAACATCCTGAAACATATACAGGCCATTCATTCCGAAGAACATCGACAACGTTGCTGGCTAATGCAGGACTTGATGTATTAGCGGTCAAGAGACATGGTGGGTGGAAATCAGCCACAATTGCAGAAAGTTATGTTGTTGACAGTTTAAGTAACAAAAATGAAATAGCCAACAGGATTCTTTACAATGACACTTCAACCCCAGGTTCTAGTAATACGTCGCATCATGCTGTTGTAATGGATCAGTCAGATAATATTGAGCCTCCGGTGACTCAAATGGAGCGGTCAAATCATTTTGAGAAAAATGTGATAATTAATAAACGCGAGGGAGATTTTATAAATGTTACTAAATGTAATAACTGTATAATTTCTATAAATATTCATTCATAATAATTAATAAAATGTAGTGTTCATCAAATATTCGCTCTTTTCCACTTACCTCCTTAAAAACAATGTATTAATAGTCTATTTACCATAGTGGGAGCAGATAAAATCAATTAATGTTAAAAGGAAAATTTAAGTTGGAACGAAATAAAATAATAAAATATGCGTAACAATCTCTTCATTTACACAAAATTTTCTATGTTATGGCTTATGTTATAGTTATTTATACTTTTTAATTGCAGCTAGACCTAACCGCTTACAGTATCTAATCCTTTCACATCGAAATATGTATCCTCTTATAAAACCAAAATGTATTTTTTTTTTATCTAGGCATTTAGTCTTAACATTAGAACCTTACAAATTACTGGTGCTTTAACTCTTACCTACCTAACACATTAAGAATTTGTTGAAATGTCACCAAAAGCAGTTAATATCGTTTTTGTCTGCGATTAACTGGCCTTGAGGTCGTTGGTTATTTTTTACATGTACTAATATACCGTTTTACTTTTTTTTATTTAAATATTATTCATCTCTTAAGACTAGTAATCGGGTGCACCCGGCGGATATCAAGTTTCAAACTTGAAGTGAATGAATCATAGAAATTAAAAAGGCACAATTGTCAAAACATCAACGGTACAGTCAAACACGTGTGCTACTGAGGCAGCTTTGCAATTCCAAATAATTCGCTACAGTTTCGATACGGAAATCTCGCGTTAATGAACCGACTGGGATTAATTATTAAGCGAAGGTCTATATCAAAGTGCAACATAATAAATAAGACGATATTCGCAATATTCCACTGTAAAAAAATTGATTCAGGAGCGGGAAAAAATACAGTGATATATACAGAAAAATATACTCTATCCCCTATAAAAATAATTTATCTCAAAGGCCTCATTCTTGTCGACGTAGAACCTGAAAATCAAACTTCCTAAATGGTGTGACACTTAACTTAAGGGCAGAGGCTAATGTGTACAGGTTGGGAGCAACTACGGGATATCTGTAACAATACTTAACCTGTGAAGGCGTTTCTGGTCCATCTTGATAATAAATACTATTACTAGTTGGTGAAGACTTAATTATTAACATCGTACGTTATTTTTAACTATTATTTTGTAGGCGTAAACATTGTTCCAAATTCAGTTTCTAACTTTTTACGAGGAATGTAGCACAAGTATCGCTTTGCACTTTTCCAAAATTGGATGACCTGTACTAGGATATTACTACACAGCATTCATAACACAGCCCCACAAAAAAAAGTGGCAGGTCCGAAAGACAAGACTATGGTATCCATTTGGTTTTGGGGTCGCTGAATCCTAATCCGGTATCCGTTTGACGCGATTACCTCTGGTTTAAGGTCAAACAGAGCTAATAGTGTCAAACGGACACCGGATTCGGATTCAGCGACCCTAAAACCATATGGATAGCATGGTCTTGTCTTTTAGACCTCCCACTTTTTTTTTGTTGGGCTGTGTAATAATAAAAAGTTAGAAATTGAATAAAAAATCTCCTGTTTTACTACACTGCCACAAACTGACTCATATTGTGCGTTACTTTTATTTTTTACGAAGGGAAACTTGTTACTTTAATCTGAATGAATGTCCCTGATTAATTTGTACCACCAATTTAGACAGAGACCGATGTGAATTCCTTTAGATTTACTTGAGGTTCTTTCTAGACCCAAACTAGTCCTTTACATTTTAAATGGTCTATTCGGAAGTTGTGGAAACCCTTAAATTGCAGCCGGAAGACCTTCAGGCAGTGATCAATGTATATTTCAATTTAGGAAGATTTCAAACCAAAAAAAGTTGCCAATTTTTCCATCACAGACAAATTAATCATTGACTTCACCCAGAACTGACACCGTAACACCGAAATAGACGGAACTAAATCTACAACCATCCGGTTGGTCCGTTGTGGCCGCTGACAGGAATGACTCCTGGCAGTTTCGGCAAAGACTGGGACGTGTTGGGCTTGTATTCGTCGTCGGGAGTCTGAGATGAACCGGTGGCTGGATTGCTGGAAGAAGAGTAGTTGTACATGAGGGGCTCTCTGGAGGTACCGCTGACTGTCATGGAGGGACCCACTGTGGTGACGCTTTCTTCGGTGGTCGACGGAGTCAGAGTATGCGCTACGGTTGTTGGCACCTCCATAGAGTCCTGCTGGGACTGGGTCTTCTCGTGGCGCGGCAGGATTTGGATTATTTCCGGCACTCTCGTGGGAACGCTAGAAGCGCGCTTCAGAACTTGCTGAAACTGAAATATTAGCTCTCAAAATTTGTCACGTGCAACAAAACACATTGATTGTGACGTCACACCGTTCTATCACATCCACACGCTACATATTGCATTGTTATCTCTTCTTACCTTTTTCGGTCCTATCTTTTTGGGCACGATCGACTCTTTAGGGTCGGCCGGAGGAACTATTGGACTAGTGTTCCTAGAAGCGGAGAACTTCTTCCTCTTCTTCTTAAGCAAAGCCAAGCCGTGAGCTATCCCGTGCAGCTCCCTCTCGGGGTTCCTCTGTCCCTCTGGTGCCCCATCCAAGCTAGGATTGGAGTCCGACAGGCTAACAGAGCAGTTGTCCTCGGAGGCCGGACTGTTGCTGTGGGAGCGAGAGCGACGACCACCGTCGCCGTTGGCGTCGCGACAGTTGTTACACACCGAATCTTCAGATCTCGAGCGCCCGATCAACCTGGACACTTTGCCTGTCTTGGCTGCCTCTATCAGGGTGCCCCACCGCCTTTTGTGGGAATGGCTCCGCTTCAGGTTCAATCTGTAAAAGAATTTCCTTCGCAACATCATGATTACTGGCACCACGTACAATTTGATTTGGTGGGATCGTTGCGGCGTGTTTAAATAAGGCATACAAATGGTGAAATTGTACTTACTTTCAGTCTAGTAGGTATAGATTCTTCTTGGGGGTGTGATATTGGTGCGTGCACGAAAAAGAATAGAAAACAATAGCGGGAAAGCAAAAGGTAAAAATGTGGAAATAAGGTTTAGTGTTGCTACATAAAATACAAATTTTAGCAACGTGAAACGCTTGCAACTTTGGAAGTATCGTAAAATGCAATTTACTTATGAATAGTTTCAATATACGGTGTATTATTTCTACATTGTATAGAAAATTGGAACCGTAACGGAGTGTAAAGGAAGTTTATCAACGGAATTGTATTTTATGGTACACCTTTGACATTGACGGTCCCCGTAGTACTATAAAATTCCATTCCCACTAGATCGACCCCTGCCGGTTATATAGAGGGTGCCAAAGCTGGGCGCGCCCTTTTATGTCGATCCTCCATTATATTTCAATTCCGGAAATCCTTACTACAATTCCCCAACTTTAATATATCATCGTAAACGAAATCTTTACTACTTTAATTCACAACGATGTTTAAAAAAAAATAACTAAAACGATCATATACGTGGTGCTCGGAAACGAATGTTACATGTTCCAGTGTTCAGACGTAGCCTCCATTATTTGACCGATTTTAATGACATTCGATGTAGACATACGACGAACCTTCGCAAAAAAGAAAAAATACATGTATTTAGTTATGTAACATTACTTTCCTGACACCCTCTACAAAAACAATCTACGAAAATTCGATCGTACGACAACGACACTACAATCGCGTACCTTTTATGGTGGTGGTGGTGGTGGTGATGGTGATGGCCCTCGTTGATGCTACCCTGCGAAGAAGACACCGTGCTGCTGTGCTGGTGGAGCTTCCTGTGAGTGGTGGAGTTAAAGATCCCGGACAAGGTGGAACCGAAGAAGTCGTGATGGTGGCCTTCGTGGTGGTGTTGGAGGGACGCGATGAACTCGGCTACGGGTGGGAGGGACCCCGAGGAGGTGGATGGCTGTGGGCCTATGTTGAAGCCTTTCATAAGGCGGCGTTCCTTTTGACGGTTCTTTTTGCCGCCAGTACCTAAGGGAGATAATTTAGCATCCATCCAAACTTGCGTCTAAATCAGGGTGGAAAACTGAACGTGTATGGAACACTTTAGGGATAGGAAATACGGTTTTTTATGTAGAAAATGTGTAACTAATGAACATAATTTAAGTGACTCACCCATTCCGCTGTGGGCAGTAGACGTGTTCATGCCGGAATTCTTCAGGATTTCTATGAGTTCGAAGCGAAACGCCGAGATGTCCTGCTTTATCTCGTTCACGTCGTCCTCCGTGACGCCCTGGTTCTCCGCCTTCCTCTGCTCTACCGTCACGTAACGCCTAACTAAGTTTCTCATGATTCCCTGCAAGAAATATGCCTCTATAATATTAAACTACCCCGCGAGAACAATAGAGAATCTCGGATCAGAGAATAAGTGTATTTATATCGATTTGGAATATGTTTTCATTACCTGATATCTGAAATCTCTCTCACTCGCTTGCTTCACTTTTCGCTAGAACACAGAAAAAGCTCAGCTGAATATCTAAGTTTTTTATTAGATAACATTTTTTAGTGCTCGCTTCAGCATTGGGCACGTAACCGGGCCTCTAAAATTGAGTGGGCCCGAGGGAGGGCCATGATTTTTCCAGGTGGGCCGCCGTTTTGTTTTACCATGTTCTGTAAATCGACTTCCAGAAAAAAAAATATGTCATACGCATTACCTTGCTTGACATTGTTGCTTTAAAAAGAAAACAAATAATTTTCCAAAATCAATTAAAAGTTATTCCCCTTATTCTAGTCCAGGGTTTCCCCTTTGAATTCTTTCAGACAGAACCGATTGACATGAAAGTTATATAGTGCCGATGAACGCTTTTGCCCAGGGGGTGGAAGCCACCCCTTCTAGGGAGTGAAAAATAAAATATTGAAAATAACCCCAGGAATCGATAAAGCAATCAATTTTAAGCAAAAAGTATTTTATGAACATTTTTCGATACGTCAATATTTTCTGAGATATTGGTGATTGAAAATGTACATTTTTATTAAAAAAAAGATTCAGTAGTTTTTCTCGAATAACTCGGAAAATAGACATTCTATGAAAAAAAACATCTCGAAGAAAATGAAGCTTATAGAAAAAGAAAAATATTAAGTTTTTTTTTATTTATGTAGGTGCAATAGGTGCTGAGATACGGCTGGTTGAAGATAATTTCATGTCCGACAGAAACTAAAATGGAAGCATTTAACGTAAAATAACTAACAAAAATTGTATTTTTCAAGAAAAGTGCACAGATCATTTTTTAAAGTACTTTAAGAAATCTTTAAAATGAACTTGACTTTAAGTCATTAGCATAAAAATTAACTGAGTTATGATCAAAATAAAACTTAATTCGCTTTTTCGGAAAAAAAAAATCATTACAAAAAGTGTTGAATTTTTCACGAGATTTAAAATTAAAGGTAATCCTTCTAGAATTTACATTTTTTATGTGTTAACAATATATTATACAAGTTTAAGCGGTTTAGAATGCATATTTTTGAAAATATTACGTTTCGATTGAAAACATTATATTTAATTCCAAAAAAAATAACATTCTCGAAAATAACTTAAAAAATAAAAAAGATACGAAAAATATTCAAGAGTACAAAGGTTTAGATTTTTTTTCACAGAAAAAGTTTATTTTTTATTTGTGAAGGATAAAAATTAACAATGTCGCTGCTAGAAGTTTGCAGTTGAGGGCGAAGGTCATGATTTTCAAACCGTTTAACCTCAATAATCTCAAAAATAACGCGTTAAAAAATATCCAATTTTACAGTACTTTTATCTGTCGAAATTTTCCGTAAAATCGTTTTTGGATCTTCATAATAGCTTTAAAATTTATCTTTAAAAAACTAACGGCACCTTACAGCTTCAATTTTCGAAGCATATCAATATTTTGGATATCTACAACTTTGGAGCATCCATAGGTGTACATAATAAAATAATATACAGTGTGTCTCGTTTTTCAGGTTAACACCTCTGGAAATGTGAGAAGGCTGTGGACTTTCCACAAGCCAATTTTTTTACAAATAGTGCCCTGGTGGGAGGTTATATTCTACTAATAATCATTTTATTGATGTGACAAAAGCCTGGTCTACTACGATTTTTTAAAAGGGTCGTTTTTCCAGAACGTAGTACTAATACTACGTTCTAAATTCTAAATGCCTAAGCATTTTGTTATTAAAAAGATATTATTACCAGGTTATTCAACACCCAATAAAATACCCATATACTAAATTTGAACGACAAATGTCTACTGAGTGTTTTTTTATGTGGTGCCAAACTTCGAAAAATTAGGTTTTTATAATATCAATAAAATGATTAGTAGTTTTCAGGGTACTATTTGCAAAAAAAAGTCCACAGCCTTCTCACATTTCCAGAGGTGTTAACCTGAAAAACGAGACACAGATATATATGTATATTTGAAAATTTGAAATTATGACTTTATGCATGAAAAAAAATATCTAGAAATAATTATTTTGAATATTGCATAAATTAAAGTAAATCGCGACAAAGTTACTACGAAAAAATAAATTATTCTTTTTAAATAATTAAAAATTTTTTTATATTTTGTCATTGGGGTGGGGGTAAAGGGTTAAATCAATGCGATAAATTATAAATTGTATTATAAACAGGTAAAAGAATTTAATTTATCCTGTTTGTACTATCAAATCATTTGAAACTGTTGAAAACTATTTTTTTAAATATTTTGTTATTAGGGGTAGTTTTTAAGGGTTGAATCTTTATAAAAATAACGTAAACTATAATAGACGGATGGTCCACCCCTAAAAAGATGCTTAGAAAATCAAGGTCACCGACCACGAAGAGAGGCCAGGACCTTTTGTAATCGATGCATTTAGTTATTACGAACAAAAAACCTAAGTAACATCTTTGTGTCCGAGTGGCAGGTAATTTGTTATTAACAAAAAAGTTGCATAATAAAAATATTGCAAAAAAACGCTCTGCAAACAATTTTCTAAGGTAAATTGGGCAAAAATAAACACTTTTTGTCTCTTGAAATTTTTTCGTAGACCGCACAGGGTAGTCCGGCATATTTTTTTCCAAGGTAACCTACACCTTGATAAATACCCCTACCCATTCCTGCTCTATTGAGATCCCAAAGACTCGAAAAAACATGAAATTTTATTTAATGATGAAAAATTTCCAGATTTCCACAAAAAAAAACAAATACTTACACATGTTGCACCATATTTTGATATTTCCAAAATCACGGGAAACTCCTTCCTCTCATCTCGGTAGGCCAGCGTGTTTTCATGGCCCACCCGGACGCGCCTCTAGTTACGAGCCCACTTTGGCATCACAAGAGCGTTATTATTTCTAAGCTTTTCAGGGTCATCGTACAAACACAAAATCTATAACTACTTAGACAGAACTTTGATGTCCCCGAATCATTACAGTCACATGACACATAATAGGGTGTCCAAATGAAACACATAAAGGCAATGCCGAGCTCACCCTAATTGTCCGCATGTGCTCCTTCTTCGCAGCCCTCGAGTGTCCGCAGAACTTTCTCCGTACCCACTCGATGATGTACCACAAACTTTTGGGCGTCGGGATGATGTTGAAGGGGGGCGGCACCGTCCCTCCCTCCTCGAAGTAGCTGATCCACAGCTTGCTGCGGGCGAACTTCCACTCGGTGTCGGCCCGCTCCTGAGGAGATTAATCAAACGGGAATTGCTCGACAACAGTGACCGAAAACCTCATTAAGATGTCATTGAAAGAGAAATTCAGTTGGCAGGGTAGGATCTGTATGCGAAGTGTTATTGAAAGTGAGTTTTCTTTTCAACTAGCGTTTGTAAGTATAAAAGTAAATTAAAAAAGGCATTTATAAAACTTTTTTATAACCTAGATATACGTTTAAGGGAATTACAGGGTCTATAACACTTTGGGGCAACGAAAAATAACAAATTCAAATGAAACACATTGGTAAAATATAAAAGAATTATAAAAGCAAAAAAAAGAGAGGAAGAATGAAGAGAAAATAAAAAGAAACATCAGATGATAGACCTACAACACATGTACATCAAACAGATAAATCCTTAATACCCTATATCCATAATAAAGAACACAGGACTGTAGTATAAACGGATAAAAAATTGCACACCTCCAAACCTGTCTATGCACGAACAGTCTTCAATTCAATAAAACAGAAGATCATCCAAACCCCTTAATGGTTGAAACTTAATAATGTTAATCAGGAACAGGCATATTTACTTGGATTTACTGCTATGACTTTAGAAATATCAAATCATTTCCTTACAGATGACATATTTTAATGGCGAAACCCCACTTTCTATGACATCTACTGTTAAAAAAAAAGTTTCCACTTACCGAGATCAGCTGGTAGGAATGATTCATCATGGCGATCAGCAGATTCAGCAACACCACGATATTGATGACTGAGTATGTGCCAAACATGAGCATACCCCAGAATCTGGTGAAGATCTTGATCTCATTAAGCTCGAAACTTTCCAGGTCTATCAGCCCAAACACCGCCCAGAATAACGTCTGACTGGTCTCGAACAAGCTGAAATTTTATTGAAGGGAAACTCCTTCTTCGTCTATATTCAAGAACTCACTTGGAAAATCTCCTCCAAATGGTACAAGCGTTGGAATCGGGCTCGGTATCATTGACGCCCCTGTTCGGGAAGCGGTTGTCGCCGGACTCTTGTCGACACCTTTGTCTCTCGGCGTCGGCGTAGTACCACAAGAGCTGGTTCAAGCCTGGAAAGGATGCCAAAACATTTCAATGATTTCCATCAAGAAAGCAAGGAATAAAGTCAGTAATAGCAATTTATTTCCTTCCTGCAACAAAGAACCCAAAATTTGTGCGGGAGAAGACGTGGTATATTATTATTTTTCTCTACAAAGCAACCACTGTGGATAGTAATCATTTTAAACTACAGTTTTTTTACATCGCTTTGGGCGCGCTTTGTTGGGGCCCTACTGAGTATTCTTTTACGTCGGCGTTCCATTTAAATTTGTTAAATCCGGGATTCTTAAGGTTATAGTACTCACCGCAGGAGAAGGCGAACAATACGAGGACGTAGAGGAAAAAAAACTTCATAATGTCCATAACCATTCTCGATAGAGAAACCTGCAGTGGTCCCAAATGTGGATTTACGGAAAATATATACACCAGCTTCAGCGAACTGAAAGAGAGGATCAATTTTATTGTTGCGAAAGTGGTGGTTCGTAACCGAGAGGGCTTTTGTTTAATTAAATACAAAGCGGAAATGTACAGGAAGAGATACGGCTGCTGCAAAATTTTAAATAATGCCTACTAATTACCTTAAAACTAAGCACTTTCTTACATAAGTGTTCGATAGTATGCCCGATCTGTTACATCAAATTTTGTACTGCACTTTCCAATATAATATGTATATACATTTTTTAAAGAGGAAATACGGTTTGCTTATTATGACAATATAAAAAAGAGTTATTATATTTCAAGGGTTATATTTATCACATAATTATATTTCAATTAATTCGAAAAATTATCAAAACTTTATCATTCGTTCGATTATTCCCCAGAAAAATCTGGTAACTGAAAATAGATCTATCTGATAATAGCACATTTTCCAGTTATTATTGTCCCAATATTAGCCGATCAGTATTTGCAGACTAATATAAACTTCTCAAAAATATGTTTTAATTGAGCAAACATGCCAAATAGATGAAAATAATTAATGGATTCCAAACGATATGGAAGTGGGACATATTTTTAAAACTGGTTAGTTTCTGATTCGGTTCCAATTAAAAATAATTTTTGTACAGGGTTAGTCACTGTCATAATCTGACAACTTATTGTGAGTTTATTATTGAAATTACAAAAAAGTTTTTAATACAAAAGTTTTAGCTTTTTTTATGAATTTTCATAATACAGTATTATTGAAGATGGTTCTCCAATTAGTTTAATAATTAACACTGTATGAAAAAGACTTTTGTTCCAGATCAGAAAAGTGTATTTTTTCCTGTCAAATAAATCATCTCTTCGACAATTATAAAACAGAATTCTGTAAGTTTTAGAAAAAACTAATTCGGTTCATTCCATCTCCATTTTTTGGAGCAACCGAGGATTAGAATCACCCTGGAGGCACATTTTTCGATTGTTTTATCTCGCCCCCACCCGGGGGGCTGTTGATTTATCCAACGCCCTGCTCGCAGCCTTGCCGGCTCGCAGGAACTGGCGAGCCGATCGAAAGCGACAGGAACATCTCTATGCGAATTAATTCCGAAATTTATTAATGGGAGTTTCATTTATCTGATGACGGATGAGTTAAACTGAAGCCCATTATGCGAAATTGGACGCTCGATGGCCCTCCTAGTTTAATGAGCTAATATATTCGGCGCGATATCTATTGAAACCAGAATCGGGCTCGTAAAATAGTTGCGCCACCAATTTGCGTGCATATCCAGTCCGAAATTAATATTTCGTTGGAAATGTGACATCAAAAACATATTTATGAAACCGCTGTTCTGGTTTAAAAGCGCAAAACAACATAATTAGGGCTCTTCCAAGCTTTATTCCGTTACTTAGATCAGGGCGGATCTGTTTTGAGATGGATGTGAGAGGGGGCAAGCAAATTTTTCCTGGATTACCTTCAGTACAACTCACATAATAAAAGTGTAGATCCCTAGATCTGGGCCAGGTCCGGAACAATTAAGTATTTAGATGCTTTATTTGAGGCTGTGCAACATTTTGAAAGTTCGAAAATATTTTTTCAATTTTTTTCAAAAAATTATTTTGCGAATACTATAGAACCAATTTGAATGAAATTTGGTGTGTTGTTTTATTACACTCTAAAGTTTTTTTTACCAAAATTAGAATGCCCTCGGAACAGTTACAATATTTTAAAAAAATTAACCAAAAAATACTTTGCTTTTCTCCATCAATTATTGCTATTTTGCAACATGGGTAACAATTTAAACATTCTTAACTTGTATATTGTGCAAAATTAAATTGTAAAACTTTTATTACTCTTTAATATTCTTCCAAATTGATATATTCCAAGTTATAAGTATAAAATAAACATTTTTTTAAAATTTTGTAAACATTTTTGCAATTTTGAAAATGTTCCGGACCTCACCCAGATCTAGGGATCTACACTTTTATTATGTGAGTTGTCCTAAAGGCATTCCAGCAGAAATTAGCTTGCCCCTCTTACATACAAGAAGTAGGATATTTCAACAGTTCCGCGCTGGTCTAACTGTCTATCATGAAAAAAAAAACTGCGTTGAAAGCCAAAAGAATGTTTCAGCAAAGCCATATTTACCATCACCATCACTTCATTCACGGAAACATAATTTTTATATACCTGGACAAAATTTACTCACTTTTGAATTTCAAAAAATTGACTGGACAAGAATTAGCACAATAAAGAGATTCAAAATGGCGGAAACTGACCTGAATATGTTCGCAGCAGAGAACAGTCCCTCCGAGATGAGCATGGGGTCCCATGCGTCCCATTCCTCTCTCCTAATTTTGGCTGCGTCCGGGTTCTTCTGGACCTGGAAAGTTAACGCATCGCGGCGTTAAGTTTAGTTTGTAACGGGTTTATGGACACGTTATGTTTTAAAGCGAGGCCATAAAAGAAATGTTTTAAATTTTTTATCCAAGTATAGTGTCAAGGGAAAACTCTACAAGCCATAAGTTTGTTTTAATAGACAGGGAAATTGTCGCGAGACTAAATTTTTTGTAAAACAAAATGTGTTATTTTCGTCCTAATCCTTTAATTGTCAATGTTTCGTCAGTCGTGACCATCCTCAATTTTCTTTATTAAACACGATATAATTATCTTTATTTTAATTTCAGAGTACCCCTTTCAATATTTCAAAACTTCAAGTCACATCTAAGGTATTGTTAAAGTATTGTTTTAAGAAATAAAACTCCATAAAAATCAAAATTTCAAATCCTCATTCTGCTCATATTTGTTCATATGTTGACAATTTGTGTAGCTAACGTAAGGTAAGGTATTTTTAATATCGTAGCTAGAAAAAGAATGTAAATTATTGTGAATGCATTACCTGCCATATGGAAACGATTCTTAAAGCTACCGTCGCTACATACAACGAATTCGTAATAAAGTCTATGACATTCCACATGTCCCGGACGTATTCTTCGAGGCCGACGTCCCACAGCTGCTTTATCTCGCTCCATATTAATCCTGAAAACATATAGTTATATATGTCTACATGCATTTGTTCTAATGGATGTGTTGTCTTTCCATCTTCAGAGTGAAATAAAAGATTCAGAAAAAAAATGTAATCTTTACGTAGGCAAAAATGTACTAAAAGCTAATTCTTACCACTAACGTATGATAAGATTATCCATTCTACTAAGGACGGTTTTGCACCTCTCTGTGTGGAGAGTTCTAGTTCTTCCTCCACCCCAAATATGGACTGGAGGTACTGCCTCTGGGATGCCAGTATCAGCATAACTACAATACATAAAACACATGTTACTAGTACAATATAAATGAGAATTATGTTTTAAAAAGTCTACTCTACTGTGCTGTTTTGTTATTATTCTTTAGCAGATCAGGAACTGCTAATACAGGTGCAGTAACTAATTATAGCATTATTCGCTGTTGTTACTTTTTGAAACGGCCTCGTATCTTTTTATGTACATACAACACTGTAACAGTACTCAGAAATCCTCTCGCGAGCAAATCCGGGCAATCAACGCCTCTATCCATCAAATTAGGAAATACTCACACAAGAAGAGGAAGTAGGAGGCGGAATGACAGATGAACTTGATGAAGGGCTTCCGCATCGTCTGCCCCACCACCGAGTGGGGCGCCACGATGTAGGCGATGGAGAAGAACGGGAAGAGGATGCCTATGCGGACGATTTCCAGGGCTTGTAATACCATATTTTTTCGACGGAAGCCGGGCAGTCCCTCGTACCAGATGGAGGCCAGCAATTGCTGGACGTTGGAATGTGCTACGAACTACAACAAAAAGGTTACAATGACGCACTTACTTTCAATTGTATGCTTTGTGGGGAGATTTACGTTTTCTCTGCCACCGATGAAAAAGATAATTCACGGGTTATTGTTGCTAAAAAACTTATTGGGGACGGACGTTTCTTTAATTTATTTCGGTTAAAACTGATATAAAAATGGGTTTATGAATAAAAAATAAAACCGATAAAATTTCTTATATACTAAATATACAATATTTCAGATAAAATATGGTCTTTTTAACCTTTTGACTTCTTACATTCATATCAGTATCGTCTTCTTCAAGAAGCTCAGAGTTTCTTCCGACGAAGAGCTGTATGTCTCTTGAAATTGCTAGCCTAAACAGATGACGTAGCAAACAAATGTTTTTGACCCTTCGTCTGGTCTAGTGTCTCAAAAAGAATCCATTTCATGCAATTTTTGGTCGTATCATTTCTTGTAAAAAGTTTCTTGAGACAGCATTTATATTAAAACTGTCTTCAATTTCAAGACAAACTAATGAGGTTATAAACTTTGCAGGTCTTTTTGATAATACCGTTCCTTTTGTTCCATTTTGGAAAGAAGTTTCAATTTATTTCCAACAGCTGATAAACCGCCAATATTTACTTCGACTACAATTTCCTTAGAAATATTTGAAATAGAACCTTGAACCATTAAAAGCTTTTCCAAAAACTATTAAAATAGTTGTACTGAACGATAATATTTTATCATCGAATTCACAAGCATCGAAGAAGCGGGTGAATTAATTTCGCGAGTCTATAATATATTCCATCATGTATAATAGTCTATTTTTTCTTTAGCAAATTTCAAAAGGAAAACATTAAAACAATCAATCTAACTAATTGAGGCATATTCTAAAGTCTCAGTGGGAGAACCCATGGCAACAAAATAACTATTGTTTTATTTTACTCTGCCAGTTCTAGTTGTGTTGCCTTGTTTATTCTGCACAAAGTAATTGAAGAAAAAAAACATGGAAAAAGATGCATTAGTGGCACTGGCGAAGTTATTGCTCCAAAAATCGAGGTTGGTATACGGAAAAAGTTTATCTAATCGAGGAAAATAGTCAGTGATGGAAAAGGAAGTTCTTGTAATTCTAAGTCTGTTCGTTTTTTACATAAAAAAGTTCTAATCATTTCAATAATAAAGGGTACACTTCCAACAACACTTCCCAACAAACTAGCACTTTGCTACAAAATACCAGTTTGCACAGTCACCTTTAACGATTAGCTAAGGGGTTCGTTGGACGTAAGTTTGCGGAAGCAATAATTACCCTCACCTAAATGCACTGGACAGAGAAGGATTGCACTTTTATGGATTTATAATAGGTGCAGTTTTTAGGGCAGGTAGTACGTTACTTTGTCGGCTGTACGCTGACACGGTTTGAGGTCGGCGAACTTACAATAAAAGGGCAATTTGTATCGTTAATAGTCTCTCTGAAAATATGAACGGCACACGAATTTAAAGGCCTTCCCTTCCATTATCGATTGGCTTAGTTGGAGCGGAATGTTATTTATTTCTATTTGTAACTAGTCACCTAGCGTTCAGTTGATACCATATTCATAAAACGACGGTGATCCAAATGAATAAAGACTAATAGGAGGGGCGGTATTTCCAAAACGTACACACAAAATCAAGGAATTAATACAGAGCAACTCTCTAGCAATATAAATTGAGAAAGTGTAATAAATATACCCAAACGCTTTTACATAGTACTCATGTGCAAGAAGCCGATGCTCACACTTAACATTTTTTAACTTTTTAACATTTTAACTAATCTCACAATTACTTTGTAATACATGGTTTTTACCTTTTTCTGGCGCAACTTGATGGCGAGCTTCAGTCTGTTCAGGTGCATCCTGTCTCCGTGCTCGAAGGCTGGTCCCGTGGGGTCGTGGTTCAGCAGCACCTCCAGCTCGTAGGAGCTGCGCGTGTGGTCCAAAAGCGCAGTGGCGAAGTCCTGGCACTGCTTCCGCAGCTCCTGGTACTCGCTCTTGAACTCGTGCTCCATGAAACTCAACCTGGGACATGTTAACGACAACAGAACGCGTTTAAAATAGACAGGACTAACCACTAATCTTTGTAAAGGGAGCAAAGCCTCTCACCTGCGTAATTCCCAGGAGAGTTCGAAGGCGGTGAGGATGGGGTCTTTGGAGGAGAGTGCGATAAGCGAGGGTGACGCTAGGGCTCGGTAGGCGTTGATCCGGCTGCGGGAGTGCCTCAGGGAGTCTTCCATGCGAGAAGTCACGCACTCGTCGCACCCACACCTGAATACAACAGAGATTAATAGTTTGCTTACCTAAATCTTCCGAATCCTGATAATTTTAATGGTTAAAAAAAAAATGTTTATTTTTTAGGACATATGTTCCAGTAACAAATAATATTTCGCTTCCAAATAGTTTTTTATTGGTCAGTCCCCTTTAAGAGTTTTTAAAATGAGCGTAAACGTTTTTCATTCATCGATAATCGTCTCAGCTCATACATAAAGGATAGGGAACACATTTTAGAACGAAATATCGAGTGACTGGCCGATATACACTTGCATCAATCGCGTGAGTAGAGTTAGCTTAAATAAATAATCGTGCTGATGTTAGAAATGTTTCAATATAAACCTCAGTGTTCGATATTCAGGAAAGATAAACATTTTTGCCACCTGTTAAAATGCCAAATATCCCAGTACGATTTTGTACGATAAAAACAAATCCACTTAAAATATTTTGCTATAAGTCACTATCCCTTCATCACACCGCAACCCTTCTGTCTCTCCAGTCGGGATAATATACGTTGTACACTATTTAAAACATCATTCGGGATGAGCCCCAAATGCTATTATTTTAATACAACAATAATACCTCACCCCTCCGAGTATGTTGATTAAAGTCAGACGCTTTGATGAATTGCACGGTAAACTCGTGCTGAACTGTCTGATGGGATATTACGGATAGGATTAGAAAGGACGGGAACATGAGTAAATGATAAATTAGTTTACATTAAAGTATTTATGTAGTTAATGTCGTTGGTAATTCTTTAGATGTTTACATTAAAAATAACCAAAAGGTATGTTCAATACGAGTGTATGGTTATCCAGAAGACTGTATTAAATGCAACGGAAACAAAATGTGACTTGTATTTGCCCAGACTTTTGGCGGACCTCGCTACAGAACTTCTGCGGACTCACCGAGGACCGTGATCGGACGTCAACCCTGATACGTTCCAGTCCAGTTCCATATGCAAAAGTTACATTTATTGCCATTATTAATACAATAATAGGTAATAAACAATAATTTTGTAAAAAAAATAAAATAGTATTGAGTTAAAATTTCTCAATGCAGCATATATTGTCTCCGAGGTGGCACTAGTTATGGGACGTTGTCTCCTCTCGCCCTCTGAAATTTGCCTCGCGCACACATGCACGGCTTGCTAGATTGCGGGCGATGGAACGTATATACGTTCATCGAACAAACGAATGTCAAACTAAAACATAATAAATCAGATGAGGGCAGGCGAGGAGAAAATATGGAACGCACGTGAAAACGTATGCGCGAAAGACAGCAGAATGCATAAGTAATGATACAGAAAGCGTTTGACAAAACAGGGGAGAGTTTCGGGAGGGTATTTATCATACGGCGTAGCGCAGGTGATTTACATTTAGGAAGCGTTCCCGACAATCTTCCCGATGTTTTATTAAGGTGTATTTAAGACGGCGCGAGGCTGTAAAAGCAGCCGAGTTTAATTTACCAAACGTACCGTGGCGTCATCCGAGTGCGCTAATAAAATTACGTACTTTTTAAATAATTCTCATCGTTCAAAAATTTACATTTGAAACAAAACGATGAAGGCCTGAAATTTCTTAAATATTTACTTATGCAGAATCGGATGGTCGTAAAATAAAATGTACCTGGAAAGTTCTAAAAATTATATATTTTTTACGAACATTTTTTGTGCAGGAATTTTTTCTCTATCTCTTCTCCTTAAAAAGTTATCTACAATAACAAACATACAAAAATATATCCTATTGTATTGGAATTAGTCATGATTTAATTAATATTGCAGTGAAAACAATGGCAGAAACTGCTGTCACAAGTCTGTTTACATATTAGTTTCTGTCAAACGCTATTTCTTGCATGATACACAAACTAGTAAGTGGTTGCTAAAAATTAAAAAATGTTCACAAGCAATGAAAAAGTTGACATGATTTTAATTTATGGTGAATGTCAAAAAAATGTCAGAAGAGCTGCTAACTTATATCATGAGAGATGTCCAGAGCGTCAAGCTGTTACCCAAAAATATTTACCAGATTAGAACAAATTTTGCATGCTAACGAAACTGCATTTTCATCATGAAAAATGAAAGGAGAAGAAAGACTCTTTCGTTCGGAACTAAGTGGATTGGAATGAATGAGCCTGTAGAATGGGCTTCAAAGTCTCCAGACTTAACGCCCGTAGACTATTTTTTATGGGAACATTAAAAAATCAAGTAAACAAGACACTCACGAGAAGTTTTTAAAGCATTTAAAGTAAAATATTCAACATACTTGTGAGAATCTTTCAAGAGAAAGCTAGAAGGGAAGTTAGGAAAAAATTGGAGAAATGCTTAGAAGTAGAAGGCATGCATATCGAAAATTTTTTGAAGTAATAATCATAATTTTATATTTTGTTTTGTGTTTTATTATTAGTTATTGTTATATTTATTAGTTACAATTAAAATTGTTTAATATTTTCTATATTTGGCTATCCTAACCGTCATTATGTGTATTGTTCTATTTTTCTTCGTGGGGTGATCTTTTTTAAGAATAACATAGGAACTAATATGTAAATAAATTTGTGACAGGAGCGATTGTTGTTCACAGTAATGTTGATTAAGTCATGACTAGCTCCAATACAGTAGGATACATTTTTGTATTTGTTATTGTAATTTAAAAAAAAAATAGATAATGTTAGTTGTCATACAAAATTGGTATGTTTGTGAAAAAATATAGGGTTTTTTGCGATCTCAAATTATACAATAACAAACAATAAGAGAGACCGATAAAATTTTAAACCAGAAATCAAATTATTAGACTTTTCCGTAGACTTTTGACGTATTACATGGATATTCGATATATATATGTATATATATATATCTTCTTTCCTCTTCGTGGAATCATCTGATATTTATTACGAATACACCAAATTCGTCGATATTCGAAAATTGGGTAGCATCAAGTGAAGTCTCAGAGAGAGAGAGAGAGAAGAAGCAAAACTAAGCTCCCACAGGTTCTGCAGGTTTTCTGAGTCGCTGATTACGAATCTGATAACAAAATTCAAGATGGCGGGTCCAATATGGCGGATGGAATAAAAAGGATGTTAGAATTTAGAAATGAAAAGGAGTTTTTCGAAACATGGATACACATTTTAACATTTAATGCAGTGTTTTTCAAATTACGATCACTATAACACTTATTTTTTAGCCACCAGGCCCTACAGAACCTTTGTGCTATAAACAAATCTAAAATTGTAGTTAATAAAACATTTTTTTCTGCGATTTTATTAGTATTTACAATACAAAAACATGATGTGCTAGAGCATATGCCCATCAAAACGATTCTCATCGCCCTTGCGACACCAGGGCTCTGTTATCTGGATATTAAGACGAGATGATGATCTCTCAGGACGGATTCTGTTGATAAACAAACCAATTCTGCCGAAACGACCCCTCGAAATATCCCCGGGAAATATGAAACCGAGGTCAAGCGTGAAGAAATGCGAGAGATTAATGTTTGCTTTCTGAATAAGAATTTCCGGTATAGGGACGATAGAGGGGCGTAATTATGTGAGGCACAATAAAGATTTTATATTAGCAGGAGGACCCAGACTGGATTAAATCGGCGGGAGTGTGGAACACGCCGGAGCATTGTATCTTACTCCTTGATAAATGGACGTGAAGTTAATAGTTTTCCACGGATAAATGCCATTTTTCATTTGGACGCAATTTGTTTCAATTCCCGTAATTAAACGGGATAGATATGCGATTTAAAATGCAGCGTTCAATGAAACAAACAGCCGTCACACGGATGGTCCGCCGCAATTCACAATCCGCGGTTGCGTGCGAAAACACAATTAAAGCCCGCAAAATGGTACACATGATACGTCATTGGCATTAAAAACCATAGGCGGGGATGGGGAAGAAAATTTTCATAACCGGCTCTATGTATTATTATTATTATTTACAACTTTAAAAATTCAATGTACAGGGTGTCCCATTAATAATTGGTCAAGGAAACTCCCCCTGTTGGGGGAGGGAATGTTCCATTCAGGGTTGTATTCCAATATATATACATATACCAACATAGTGAATAGTAGAAAGTTTCTGTATTATAACCAGGAAAAGAAATACACTATTTTATATGCATTGTTATGTATATTTAGTGAAGTGCACGCCACTGATTGGTAGTTACGCCATTAAACTGTGAGATTTGTTACGTGTCGACATTTACAGAAAGCGGCACATATTTTAAGAGTATTTAATTTAATGAAAATATACTTTGCTAACAGATTGATTCTATTCATAATTATCCGATAAATTTTCAGCAAAACAAGAGACGACGCACCGGGCACGTTTCATCCCCCGAGCCGGCATCGCCAGGAGATGATTAACACGACCCCGGGGATGATTTATTTACCTGACGTCGTGCGGCATGGGTAAGGTGGCGCCCCTGTCGAGCAGGATCTTGATTATCTCGTAGTTGTCCCGGTGGGCGGACAGGATGAGCGGCGTGATGTCAGGAGTGAACGTCGCCGTGTCCGGTGGCAATGCTTCCCAGCTCTACAAAGACACAAGCAGATTCATAGAATTGAATACAGACTACAATGGGGGAAACTTTTAGCGACAAGGAAATCGCGAGACAGACATCTCTGACAAAAACGAAAAAGACAAAATTCTTTCGCATTCGATGTCTTTAGTGAGATCATTTATAAACAACTAAAATAATAAAGGGCCAAGAATAAATCCTTGAGGTGCACCAAATAAAGGAATATTCACGTTATATCTGAAACCATTATAAATAGTACATATTAGCATACTTTAATTTTAATATTCACTTATACCTACAAAATAAATTATTTATCTCAACATAATTAGTTCATTTTGTTACGAAAACTAAATTTGTGCAACTGAAAAAATTGTAATAACGATTAAGAATCAACTAACCATATTTATTTAGGTTCTAGACATTATCTTTTGTAACAGCAAAACTGTCAGGCTCGCTATTGCTTTCTGGCACATAATTTTAAACCAGTAAACGCGACGTATTCTACATTTTTCTCCGAAATAAAGCGGTCTCGCTATCGTTATGCGTTTGAACCAGTGGGGTTTTCACAAACTGTCACGTCGCGCCGTTGTATCTTGCATAAACATGTTAATAATATGTTTTTGTTGCATTTGTCCTCGAAACTTCGTATTCAAACGGAAGATAAGTCAGTCAGATTCATGAAAATTTCCTGGACGCTACATGAAAAGTTTATGAAACTGTGCAATGCTTGAGATACTTAGGTACAATTTTCTTTACCGTTAAATTTGTAGTTTTTTTATTTCAGTATTAAACAAACCTTTTATTTTTAGACTTTCCGCATTTGGTATTATACTGGTAGACCAGGGCGGATCTATCGAAACATCCCTTTGGATGTAACTCACATAATAAAAGTGTAGATCCCTAAATTTGGGCGAGGTAGGTCCGGAACATTTTCAAAATTGCAAAAATTCTTAAAAAATTTTAAAAATATTTATTTTATGAGTTTTTTACTTATATCTTGGAACCTACGCATTTTTAAATATTTTAATTGCTCCGAGAGCATTCTAATTTTAGTAAAAAAACTTTAGGGTATAATAAAATAACACACCAAATTTCATTAAAATCGGTTCTATAGTTTTCGCAAAATAATTTTTTTTTTTTAAAGAATTTTCGAATTTTCAAAATGTTGCACAGCCTCAAATAAAGATTTCATCTAGATACTTCAACATTTTTCACATAAAAAAGACCGCTCAACCTTTTAAACGGTTTTTGAAAAATTGAAATCGGTTGATTAGAACGGCCACAGTAAATTTTTAAAATTTTCTTATTGATAAATGTAATATAATTGTTTAAAAATAAAAAAGAGTGTTAACTTTAAAAATTTACTGTGGCCGTCCTAATCAACCGATTTAAATTTTTCAAAAACCATTTGAAAAGTTGAACTGTCTTTTCTATGTGAAAATTTTTTCAAGTATCTAGATGCTTTATTTGAGGCTGTGCAACAATTTCAAAATTTTCTTCATAAAATTATTTTGCGAAAATTATAGAACCGATTTTAATGAAATTTGGTGTGTTGTTTTATTATATTCTAAAGTTTTTTTTACCAAAATTGGAATGCCCTCGGAGCAACTAAACAATTTTTAAAATAATTATCAAAAAAACTTGATTATTTTTCCTTTTTTCATCAATTATTGCTATTTTGCAACATCGGTAATAAATTTAAACATTTTTAACTATCAGTATATTGTGCAAAATTCAATTCTAAAACTATTTTTCCTCTTAAATATTCTTCTAAAATGCATAGGTTCCAAGATACAGATAAAAAACTTACATAAAATAGGTATTTTTTAAATTTTTTTAACATTTTTGCAATTTTGAAAATGTTCCTTACCTCGCCCAGATCTAGGGATCTGTACTTTTATTTTGTGAGTTGTACTGAAGGTAATCCAGAAAAAAATTGTTCACACATCCACCTCAAAACAGATCCGCCCTGGTCTATGAGAGGTTGGGAGATATCCTTCAATTCTAAATCCGCTAGGACGAGCAACAAAAGGGGGACATAAGGAACATTTTAATCACTCTTACTGGAAAAATGAATTCGAATTATGGGTTATAAAATTATTACGTTGCTTTCTCATCTTTTCCCGGCCATAAACCGGTTTTATGTCAAAGAGTATTTTAAGCTTTAATTTATCTCTATGTCGGTTTCTGATTCATAAACTTCTACGTTTTACGATGCACATGACTTCGGATATAGCAGACACAATAGAAGTTCCACGAGTGGTTTAAAAACAAACTTGCCTTTATAAGCGAATTTAAAAAATATATAAGTACAAAATTTGAAAAAAATAATCGATGCAGTTTGAACATAATATTATAAGAAAGTCGATAAACAATATCGCCCTCCAGATTGCTTGAAATTTAAAACGTAGAGTAATTAAAAAACTCACATGGGGCTCTCCTTTTTTGTGGATGGTCTCTTCGTGCTCCAAGAGCACCTCCACGGCTTCCACGAACTCTTCGGAGATGGCGTGCAGCAGTGCGTCTTTAGTCTCCACCCGGTGTTCTATCAGCAGCTCCACCATCTCCAAGTTCTCGTTGTCGATGGCCATCAACAGGGCGCTTCTACCTAGCGGGTCCACGCAGTTGATGTTGATGTAGGCGGTCTCTTCTGCTCTCTGGAGCATGCTGTGAAATGTTGGAAAGGCGATAGTTTAAAATGCGCACGTACAGGGTGTTCCAAATTACATTAAAGTTCAAGGTATTTCAAGAGCAACGTTTTTTTTAATTCGCGTAAAAATGTCAGCAATCGATTCCTGTAATAGACATTATCGAGAAATGAAAATCGAAAAAGGTATTGAAGAGAAACGCGACCAAAAAATTTTCACTCCTTTCAAAGTCATTTTTAGACACTTGAAATGAATAAAATCGTTATCACTTTTTTTTACCATGAAAGTACAACTCTCAAGGAAAAAAATGAGCCCTGATTCGTTTCTCTACGACTATTCGTCGAGCAAGAAGAGCCGATTTTCTTGATGACCTTTTTTTCGAAAAATCGATATAACTCGAAAAAATTTTAATATTTTTTTATTTAAAAAAAGCGCACTTTTTTGCTTGCCAAAGGCTACATTTACAACAAGTAACAAGTTCCAAAACCTTATTTTGCAAGAGATACAGCAGTAACAAAAAAAAGTCGATTTGTGACGGTTTTTTCGATATATCTCGAAAAGTAATATGGCAATCGATATATTGAAAAATACGAATCGATAGGTTTTTTTAATAGCTACAACATTCTCCTTTAACTTTTTTCGATTGGAGTTCAAGTTTATTTTTTATTAGCGAAGAACCGTTTTTTTTTTTTTACTTTTATGAATTTTTTAGGTTAACTTCGCCATTTATGCACCACAGGAAAAGGAAAAAAAACTATATTTCTTAGAATTTTTTTTCTATACCACCATATTTTTTGTTTCCAGGTGGTATTTTTTGTAAATTTAACATTAGGTCATGATTGATTGGACTAAAAAGAAATTGATCACACTGTATACACATAGGAGTATTTCAAAGTTCTGATCCAGCCCGAAATTGGACCGTCAATCAAATTTGAATAATGCTCGACATTGATTTATAATCGAAAATATAATTTACGTCGGTTTTCGATAAATAACGTGACACATTAAAATAACATGCAACAAAAGAAACAAAATATTCAAGCTTTGTATATACACATATTTCAGGGCAGAATTTGCACAGTTTTTCACAAATTCGCGAAATTTATGACCACCATTTTCCGTTATCGCAGCAATTTTTCAATACACAATGAAATAATTGAGATAGTCAACATTTCATGTGAGCAAACGAATGTAGAGACTATCCCTGTTTTATTATACATCCCACTGTTTACAGAAAATATCCAGTTCGACTGTAGGTACTCGAGTTTTATAACTGAATAAAAATATACAGATCTTTAGTGACTGCTGAAATTACTTTCAACACTTCGCGGAAGTTTAAAATAGCTTTATAATGTTTATGGAAAATGTGTCTGTCAGATAAGTGCCCAACTATATTGCTAGACGTAAACAGCATTGGAATAAATTTAATACCTTTCAAATTAAAAAAATTAGCTAAGCAATAAAGTAACGAATTAGATATTTGTACGTAAAGTGCACTCATAGATTTAAGAGAAGAATTACAATTGTCAAGGCATTATACAAGGTATGTGTTTAATGCCCAGGTAGGGATCGTGCTTGTGCCGACACGTTTCCAAGTAAAATATTTCTAATGGGACCATAAATAGATGAGAATCTAGCAATACCGGTCATCTCTTTAGCTTGTGTGAACCAAGAACATTATTCTGATTTTCTGAGATGACTTAAAGAATGAGTTTTTGAATATCAAGACGTCTGCTCAATACTATCTGAATAGAAATCAATTCTTGAAATACTGCTGACTCAGCGCGGATAGTCATTGTCTTAAATCTGTGAACGTACTTTAATATGATAATTTGCACAGAATTGGAATTCAAAAGCGTAGTAAAAATATGAGGAAACCAAGCAAATATTGATATATAGTTATGCCAGATACACAAAAGAGATAAGTTGTTATTAAGGTTGATCGATATGGTTCCCGGGACAGATGGTGAGAACCATCCCCGTCTAGCGTGCACAAACAACCACGATTTTGAATGACACTAAGGGGCAGCCAAGTGTTCCATTAAATAAAGAAACCCTCCATTAAAATCCTGTTTGAGATAAGGATACGCCGGGGTGATGGAAAACAACACTGATATCCATTTAGCACTTCCTCCGAATCCTGTTGTTTTTTTTCAATAAATTCTTACATAAACAGCTGCTAAAGCGCCACCTACTTTTTTAAAGGATTTGTTAGTAAAATAACCAGTCGAAAATGTACGGGGTCGTTCGCGTAACAGAATAACCACAAGTATTCTGCTCAGAAGTGGATTTGTGTGGGAAAGGGGCGGTTTATTAATATTCTAAGCCCGCGCTTTTGATCCTAGCAGGCTCTAACTGACGGATAGTGTACGTCCAATTAGGGGACTCCGCTCATGATTTAAGTAATTTACAGGGTGTTTGGCAAATTTTAACCAAAAAACTCCAGTATTTCCTGGTTTTCAGCCCTCATTTTTTAATTTTTTCTAGAGCGAATGTAGTAAAATTAAGTACTAGTATTTTACAGTATTTAGACAAAAAATATATAAAGGGTGTTAATGAACTTCTGTCAAATATATTTAAAAATGGATTTTCAAAAATTATCCTATTTCCATGAAAATTTCAAATAATCTCCGATGTTTCCCGGATCTATACTAGACTAACCAGTGCAATGGCACTTACCGCCTAGTGGAAGCCACGTCGCCCCTCTCGACGGCGAGCAGGAACTTCTTTTCGTCTAGGGTGAGCTGCGCGATCTCCTGGTGGGGCCTGATGACGTTCTCCTCCTCCATCATGCCGTGGATGCTGTGTCTCTGTCGAACAAAGGCGACTGTCGTTAAGTAAAAAACACAAGGGTGCGGTGTATTCTTTATTGCACCATGGCAGTGATGGATACCTCTAATTTTAATCCCTGCTAAGGGGCAAGATGACACTCGCGGCGTCCGGTTACGACGCGCTGTTCTCCAGAAGGAGGCGATTTGAGTGCGTGGTGATTTAACATACATACGAGCTCGAACGACCTTCCTTCCAGAAAATGATCGGGTCTATTTTGTATTTTGATGTGTAGGGTTGGATTTTAAAGTTTTGATAGTTAGAAGACGTGTTTAATCCAAGGGGGATGAAATTTTCATAAATTTCATTCCGTTTTTTTTTAAACTTATTAAGGAGGTATATTGGGGTCCGAGAGAAGTAAGGAGCGCATGGGGAGTCCTATGCTTTTCTTATGGGACTAAAGCTCGCTGCCAATTTGAAAAAATTAAATTCTTTTGAAATTATTTGCGATAAACATTATCTATACAGCAAATAAATCTATTCATATGCACATAGCATACATATTGACTAATTAACAACATAAAAATATCATATTTAAGTAATTTTTAAATTAAATTTAATGAACGCATAAAAACGCATAAAGACTATGTAGATGTGGCAACAATGCTAATAATTGACTAGCAGTTGTACACACTGCGAACCTACCGACCTCGGACATCGGAGATATTGCGCGTCAAATTCGGGTAAAGATGCGTACGCGTTCAAAAATGTATTGTGTGTAAACTATGTACAATATAATTATTATATATAGCAAATATATCGTATTATCCTCGCGAAGATTTGTATTCTTTATTTAAAATCCGTAAATCATGTGAACTGGTAAAACAACGAGAATTATGTTAATTTAGTTCTAAAGAAATGAAATGAACTCGCGCCCATCTCTCCTCCAAGTCAAAGAAAATGTTGGATGCAATTTTGAAGGTTCTGTGATAGAAATTACATTATTACTCACTGTTCGTGTTTTTAATCTCTATTTTAGTAATGTTACTAAAGTTTTGCAACTATAACTAATTTTTTAGATATAAAGTTTGCTGACAAATATTTATGTTCCTTTGTTTTCCGTATAAATGCTTTTATCTCAAGTATTACTAATTATATTAATCAAGTAAAGAAAACTTTATGTAACCCTAAATATTGCAGGGTAATGATTACGATGTTTTTTAAAAACATTACAAAAAATCATCTGTTGTGGATAATTTATTGTTCATAACAATGTACACGGGATTTAAGAAAAATGTATATGTTTCAAGTCAATTTCGTTTTTATCAAATCTTTCAAATGTATTCCCTCCTTGCTGTCAGCTGATTGCGACGTTGCCACATTAATCCTCAAGTCAGACAGAAATGCAATTATTGGTTTCTGTTTCTAATTAATACAGCTGTACTATGTTCAAAACTTACATTAGTTTTATATCAAAAATAAGATAATACTGTGTACTATCTATGGAAAAGCCGCACTCTCTATCTTCGCCATATAAACCTATGTCAAAATGAACAACTTTCAACAACAATATCTCAAAATCTAGATTCAAAAAAATTTTCAAAAAAATATGAACACTGGATAATGCGCTATATAAATTTCAAGTACATCTGTGCATATGCGTAAACCCGATATACCTCCTTAAATGAAGTCAAATGATATGAAATGAGACTACTTGATCCCAAGCAAACTGTGGAAACAGAAAAATCTCTTTTAGTAGCTGTTTTCTGATTGGTCTTAGTTAAGGATGATAAGATATTTCTTTCAAGTTTCTATATGGCAATGATTTTTCCATATTTCCATAAAAAAAAGTTCCGCCACTGTCTACAAAGGGAACGACAGCATGTTTTAAATTAAATCATCGATACGTTTTTACACTGCAACGCATAAAAAAAGTTTACGCAACTTTTTTAATTCAATTACATGAATTATGCATTCAATTACATGAATTATGCCATAGGGATCACTTAATCAGTTAGATGCATCTCAACAAACATTATTTTAAAATAATTGAGGCGTTGCTCATGCTGACTTTCGCGATAAATTTAAATAATATAAAATATATAAATATGAGGTAATTTTGCCTTAGGAATTCTGTAACACTGCAAAAAGATATATTCTCCCTTAATTTTTTAATTGTGATACATACGTCAATTTTCTTTTATAATTTCTGTTTCTCAGGCAAATATACCATATATTTGAGATTTCAAAGAAACTTTAGCTTATTTGGTCTGCATAAAGCTAAATATACATTTGGCTATTTAAATATCTCATAACCAGATGCTCATTAGCAATAATCTCTTGCATTTTACTTTGTTTTATCAATTGCCAATAAAAAATATTCGGTTCCTTTTTCACATGTCATATGAAAACAAAGTACGACACTGGAATGTACTATTTATTCACGGACCTTAGGTCAAAACAAACCTTTTAGTTTATAAAACTTTATAGTTGTGACATTTTAATTAGACTAAAAATAAAATAGCAACAAAAATGACTCTGTATTCATCTGTATTTACCGAACTTCTAGGGAGGAGTAACTGCACCCCCTCTGCACCCCCCCTCCATAAATAGCGCCCATGGGACTGTATTGTGCTAAAAAGATTTAGAAGAGATGACGGTTGGTAATACTCTGTTTTATGGGGATCTACTTTACTATCAGAGGTCTGTGCATCAATCATGAAATTACTGTATCTTCGGTCAATAAAACGAATAGATTGCCAATTGTTTTGTAGCGGTATTGATTAAAACTAGTCAGTATCCCTGGAAACGTCAGGAAGTAGGAATTTTAACTTTGCTGCAGTTTTTCAGGCCAAAGTTCGTTCAGCATCCTTATTTATTCTTATTACAATGGATATATTATGTGTGTTTTTAAATATAATGAACCGGAAGACATAATTTATTGAAATTTGGTACACTTTAATAGATCTTAGTAAGCTTCAATTGTTAAATATCAAGCGGGTTTTCTGGTCATCATAGGCGTAGGCAAGGGTATGTAGTAGTGAAATTTATGGGAAAAAATGGTACGCCTTTATTTTTTAAGGCGAAGTCGCAAAATTTCAATAAAAAAACGAAGATTTTGAGTTTTTCGAATAAATTAGAAAAGACACACAATCAATTGTTTGTTATGTATTATTTTAAAACAGCAATAAAATTTCCTAAAGCTTTCGTCCTTACCATCCTTTCCTAGACTGACAGTTAAAAAAGAGGAGTGTACAACCTTTTTGCTTAAAATTATATTTCCAATCTCCTATTTCAGATTGGGTCAAAATTTGATATACACCCCGTGTAAATGTTGAGGAACGAAGGGTGTTTTTAGGTACATCCGCCAATTATTTTTTTTTTTTTCAATTTAAAAACCAATTTGTCAGCTTTCCACTGGCGATTTTTCTTGCCCACGCGATCGAACTAAAAATAATTTACCGTCCTATTCGAATCCGCCATAACCTATTTAAAAAATAGCGCCACCGTCCAGGCCTACGATTAATCCAGCGTAGGCCAGCCTCGACACCATCCGGAAGGGGAGCGAAAGAGGCCTATTAATCAGCGGTGGAGTGCTGCAGGTGCGAAGGGAAACCGGAACGGGAAACGCAGCGTTAAAATTTCTCGCTCCTCCAGAATATTAAATTGCGGTCGAGACGCTAATGGCTAAATGGACGACTAAGTCCCGTATCTTATCCAGTCGAAGTTAATTGCTGGAAGCCATCTCTGTTATGATCTAAAGCAAACAACGTGTTAAGTGTAGCAGCGTCCCGAAGGAATGGTTATGGTTAAGAAAAACGTAGGTCTTAAGGGACAAGAAACGTTAAAGCGACTTTATGTCGAAGAAAAAAATGTTAAACCTTTGATTAAAACAAAGTTAAAAGAGGTTTAAACGTCTATTTTAATATTTTGTATAAAACGTGTTGATATCTGTTAAAACGTCGAGTTAAAACAACGTTATATTCAATAAAAAACGTGGTTTCAACGTCTGTGTTAATCAACTGTAGTTAATTACTCCATCTTTACTATGATTTAAAATAAACAACGTAGTCGGCGTACATATGAGAATTCAGCCCACGTTAAAGCAATCTTGTGTAAAAAAACACGTAATTTAAACGTATATATTTAAAAAATAGCGTAATTCATACAAAAGACGTAGCTGAAATCAATCAAAATTGATTATGACTCAAATCCTTCGTGTCTATACAGGGTATTCCATTAATATTGCGAAAAAATTCAAAACTGCTCGAAAACGTAGCAAGGTATCAAAAAAGTAAAGAGACAAAAAAGTTGTACTTTTTATCGCATAATTAGAAAAACATATGACACCTAAGAAAAAGCAGTGACGTCTCATATGTTTACTTATTAATATCAACAGGAGTGAGTCCCCGGACACCGCTGGAATAGATAAAATAAATAAAATTACGTCAGAAGACGTCTACCGTTTTTATAAACAAACATACCAAATTTTAAAAAAATCGAAATTAGGGTTCTCCAGATATTAGTAAAAACCTTGTATTTGCTCTAAATTTCAACACCCTGTATCTCCGAAACAAAGCATTTTCAGACAGGTTTATAGGAACATTCTTTCTTATTTTTGATCAAGGAAACTCCCCCTGAATTGTTTCGCAATATTAATGGGACACCTTGTATATCAGTATCTTAAAGAAAGGTGCTGTTTTCAATGCATCGCATTCAAATGAGAGAATGGAGTCCAAAAAACAATAAAACAACGTTATATCAAACAAATACGTTAAACGTTTGATGCGAAAAAAATGTTTTATTCGAGACTGGGTGGGATGGTTATTTGAGTCATCCGGTACAGATTTGAGTAACATCACACATTTATCTTGTACATTAAGGAAATATTTGCAACATAAACACACCGTCCGTAAAGTATTTTATCTAATCGGCGAAACTGACGTTGACGTAGGTATATAATCTGAAAGATAAATTAGTTCGCTTGTAGCGAAATTTCTCTCTAGATTTCTTTTCGTCAACAAAAAGTGGTAGTGGTCAGCCTATGAAAAAATGTTAATTAGGTACACATCGAAGAAATAGGTTCCTGATTGCAATATGACGTTTACCTGATACTCTCGCACGTAAAAAAACTAAACGGTGTATGGTCAACAACAAAAAGGTTGTCTGGTTGCTAAAATAGAAACAGAATTTCACAGTCGGGTCTGTGAAATGTACCATTTTTTTTTTGTTATACATAGCAAGTGTGGGAAAACGTCAATGAAATTTGCTAAACCCGCAGCGGTGTTATTTTTATCGCTTATACAATTACGCACATACTATTTTCTCCCCTATATTTATACGTATGTAGTAGAGTGATAATTTAAAATACACGTTATTAGACGTGTACTATAATTATTCTGTCATAATCCTAGGGGACGGATGGTAATGAAATAAATTAATTAATCACACAGATAAAGTTGAAACTGAAAATGATGCGTTCAATTGCAAAACCTGAACTATTTAAACAGAAGAATATCGCTGTACAATTAAAAGACAAAAAAGGACGGAAACTAAATTAGTACTGCATCGACCGAACAGTATAATTGAAAGAGACGAAACCGAAAAATTGTTTTTCAGTGGCGGAACTTTAAAATTTAGGTCCCCAACCCGTTGAATTAAGAATAAAGTCTTTGGAAAACACTTTTCACTTTTTTCCACGGTGAGTATTATTTTCGAATACATCCAAAAGGCGATGTGTATAATTAAAAATAAACCCTGATGAAAAGCGTATAAATTATAGAAACACGAACGGCAAATTTCCATCTTCGTATTCATTATAACTCCGAGAATTAACATGGTGGGTAATTCTAGATCATAAATTCGGACAAACCCTTTTCTGCTTGGGCCGCGCCTCACCGCGAAGCCCGGAGGATGCAAATGAGCGCGAATGGGGATAACCTCACAGGGGCTTCCCGACAAAAGAATCAGCGTTTCAAACCGACCTAAAATAATACCATCCCCGTAAAAATTGCCACATCCACGTCGTTCTGTCCCTGTGGAACCTACGCTGATGAAAATATTACAAACAAGTTGGTATTACGTGGTAAAAGGTAAAAGGTAAAAGGTAAAAGGTAAAAGGTAGAAGGTAAAAGGTAACGAGCAACCACAATATCAAGCAGTACCACCACACCAAACAGCAATTCAACAGGAGTGGAACGTATTTCAAAGATGGGTAAAATTCGGGGAAGTCAAATGTTCGAAACCAAGGCGGGGATCGCTGCAGGAGCTCTGTGGAGCCATCATAGACAGTGATCGAACGTCAGCTTTGGTACCTTACAATTTTTTAATCATGTATGAACGCCCCAAATTTTCTATTTCCAATATAGACAATAAATTAAGCTCGTTTACTGTGAATACGTTGTCTGTTTTAATTAAAAACCACCTCCTAGAGTCCTGTAGACGGTTCAGTAGAATGGTTAGGTTTAGAATCCAACGCCATACATGTTTATTTGATTACTGTCCCATATTGACTGTCAAATTTCTAACACACCATATATAATAGGATAAAGTTCATGTTCCTTGTACTCAACATATTTTTTTTACGAAAAGGCTCGTACAGACGCCTTGTACTTGCACAATATCCTCACTTAACCCAGTTTTCGTATTTGTAGAGGTAAGAGAACTGGACTGGAGTGATGTGGGAAAGGGATTCCGCGGAAACACACATAATTGGTCACTTTGCTTTTGATGATGTCACGTCCGGATGGTACGTGAGACACTTTATTTCAGACGGAGCCTGTTACAGGCTGACCATCTATCCCAATTTTCTCAACTGGATTATTTCAAAGAAAAGCCAGAGAAGGGATAGCTTTTTCCGCGATTCAATAATGGCGGATTCTTATACTTTGTGGCCCTTTACTTAGTTTCTTTGAGGGTAGCGTATATACTTTTTTAGATAATGGTCCTAATACATAATATTTCGTGTATACAGGGTGTCCCGGTAGTATTTCTCCTCTTCATATTGAAAGCATAATATTCCAAAATGTTCGCTAATTCTTCGACAGTCAAAGAATAATCTACACTATATATATATTTTCAGTGCAGAACTCGATTAACTATTTGCTTGTGTTAGACTTTTTGGTATATTTAGGACTCTTTTGCACTTCTTTTTGAAATACTAAAGGAAAAATGATTTTGACCGTCTCTAAATTCTATTCTGTTTACTTCGTGTAGCCAAACTGAACTTTGATGTATGCTAAGAACGTAAATGTTCAACACTTTCAATTTTAACATTGCAATTTTCATCAATTGGTGCGTTATTACGGTTAATGATACCAGTAAAATTTATTTTACGGCAAACAGAAAGCGACACAGCTTTATAGTGGAACTAAATTACGAATTATATCAGGACTTGCAACGTACCGTACTTAACATGTGTGGTTAATAGGGATTAGCTATTCCGACCTTACTACAAAGTTTCAGCATCAAAATCATACGCAAAACAGGTAACTTTAATGTTCCAATATTGTGTCGTTTACAACAAAATTGAATACAAATAGCTGCGAGTCGTCTTCTTCGCCTAATTTAATAGAAAAATACGAACATAAGTTCGCTTCGTTAAATAAGAAACGGGCTGGGATAAAAGCCCAACGAGCACGACTAGGGCTTCATCATCTCATTTCATTTTAGTTATTGGGTCACCATTTAATCCGATGGAATTGAGTTTATATTTTCCAGCGTGATTTTATAGCCCAAGACTGGGAACGAGGACGAGAGACATTTCCTTGGACTAAGCAACGTGCTACACTGTCGGCTGAGGCTGACGAATATGCAGATTTTTTGAAGAAACTAACGTTAATCAGATTGGCTCGCAATGTATTACAAATTTTTCTATTATCACTAGCCAAAATATGTTTTTCTACACTATTTGCTGTGCGCCAAATATATATTTCTGACAAAACTTAAAATACGACAAAAAGTGATATAAGAGCTGTTGTAAAATATAGAAGGCAGCTCTGGGAAATGTTCGCTTTTATATTTATTATATTTCGGAGGACTGTGGCTTCATTCTCTTTGATGAGTTTTTACTTACCTTGACTTTCTTGTCGATCGGCGGCTTCTCCAGGAGGCAGGTGGTCGCCGTCTCCGTGCGCGTCATGTCTATACAGGTCTCGCCACCGATCTTGTTCAAGGACACCACCCCCGCACCCTTCCCCTCTTCATCTTCGGCCGGACTCTCTGTAATAAAACAAAAAGATTACGTACCTATAACATTGCTTCCATTTAGAGTAATATTAATAAAACCACATCTCGAACGTAAAGCTTGTAAAAAAATCTCATCATCTAGCACTCTCTGCCTCGTATCTCCGTTAGAGCCGCGATGATAAAGTTGGTTTATGAATCAGGGTATAGGGAAGGAGCGATATCGGTGTCAATTTGCTCCAGGTCTCCGACACGGGTCAATAGAAGATAAATTCAAATTTCCAAGTGTGTAACTTGGCACCGATCTGTTGGTGCGGATTGAGAGTTATGTTACGCCTGAAAATAAATCAGTTTTGCCGTAAGACTACTTTGAAATTCATTGGGCGTTGTTTTTATAGAGCGACGAGTGTAGCAGTCGTTACTTTTAATTTAGGCAATCCACTGCATTCGCTAGAAACATTAATTTCACTTGGGAAGTGGGAAATTATTCAGTTACCAATTTGGTTTTTATCGCACATCAATCGTCGTTTGTTCGGGAGTAATGGATGTTCTTAGAATTAATAACCATCGTCGCACCAGGGAAAGAATTAAATATTTTAAGTTGGTCGTTAAAGTTGAGTTTGTTGCGAAATTAATTTTACATTTTTCGAAAATTGCTTTATTAACTCTCGTATCTTTTACGTACTGTCATTTTGAATAGGTAGATACCATACTACTATTTGAAATAAGTGACACAATAAAGTATACGTACTACAAACTAAATAATTAATTGATAAAAATATAAAATTTACTAAAAAAAGGATAATTTAGAGGACCAAAAAAATTTTTTGCTCCCATATACTTTTATACCGCGCAGTCAGCGAAAAAATTAGAGGAAACATTGATTATGACTGAATCACCCTGTATATGATACTTATTTTATATAATTTGTATTTATTATAATAGTTATTTATAGTACCAGTGTGTTACTTGTTAGTAAACAAACAATATTTTTTGAGTTGAAATAACGTTAAGATCCTAAAACCAAGACTGAGAAAATGGAAAATGTGGAAATTCCATCTGAAGTTTTAGAAAAAGCTATATCATTTCGGAGAAATCTATATACAACAAAGAACTGAAGGAATTTCAAGACTGGAAAATCAATGAAGATGTCTTGCTGGCTTATTTTTTCAGTTTAAGTGAGAAATTAGCTTCATCCACATTGTAGACTGAATATTCCATGTTGAAGTCAGTTTACAAGAACATTTAAATTTCTAAATTCGGAAGACTAGTGAAGTTTCTAAAGTCTAACCTCGACACAGGTTAGCCTAGGTCGGAAACACGTACCGTTGTTTATTTGTTTCCGTCCGATTGTATTTATCTTTTATTACTTACAGTCAATATTTAAATACTACATACATTTCACCCTCTCTTTATAACTTATCTAAGGAGTGTTGGTTTTTTATGTCATTATTTCTGTAATGAAATTGAAATTATTATGAAAGGGAATTTAAATTATCTGAACTCTTGGAATTTTGCAACTTCAATATTAACTTTTATTTAAAGTGAAACAGAGCAAATTTCTTTGCAGCCATAATAGTCACATTTGGTCAGATGAAAACCCGCACACTACTCGTCGGTTTAGCTTTCAGAGAAGATTAAGTGTCAATTTATGGGCAGGAGTATATGGCGATCGTTTAATTGTGCCGCATTTTCTACCTGAACATCTGAATGGGCCGCGTTACTTTCAATTTTTAGTAGAAGGCTTACAACAAATTAAAAAATTATCACTCCTCGGGGTTCTTGCTGGGCAACAATAAGAATTTAATATGTTGATTGCATAATCATAAAAAATAATTTATAGCATTTTAAATTATTATTGGCTGACGTGAGCAAACCGTTTATTTATTGTCTTTATATGAGCGAAAATATATAAATATGGCAACATTGCATCTAGGGCGCCTTGTTCATATCGTAATCGGCTGACGTCAGCCGGTCAGTAACAGCCTGAAAAGGGGGTTAAATAATGATTTGAAAATATTTTTTTCAGCTTTAATATGCATTTAATTTTTTTATCACGCTGTCGTATTACACTCATTTTTCTCTATCTGCTCTTAAAATTAATGACATTATGACTGAATCACCCTGTATACAAGTTGGATAAAATTTATTTTTGTTTTGTGATTTTCTTTATTACTGATATTTTTGGTCTTTTCGCACTATTTAAATCTCTATATAAATGCATCCAACAAGTAGTTTTGGAGTGGTGCAACAAGATTTAGGGAAGGTTCCAGCCCCTCAGTCCCACATAGTCGGCGCCTACTCAATAAATTGACCTATTAGTTTTCTATGTACACTGTCTTGCGCAAAATAAGAATTTAATGCGAGTTCCTCAACTAAATAAAATTGCATCACTAAACTCTCAAAGTAAAAGCATTACTCTTCCGCTGCACATCAGTCAAAATAAGTCGTTGCGAGTGCATCTGCCGCAAACATGCATCTTCCCCGACAGACGGGCGAGATTGATATTCCCCCGAACTTCCCAAGTTCCCCAGGATCAGACTTACTTTTCCTCCGCCTACTAAACATCCCAAACTTCCGCTGGCGCGTACATATTTTCACGGGAAATATAAATATTCCACGTAGATCAACACGGCTGGCGCGGTGCCGTTCGCGGCGTTACTGAAACGTCGAAATCGCACGGAACATGTCTTGTTTATGTGGTACACCTAAAATAATATACGGTCGAAAATATTTCGGCCTGAATATATATATTTAAAGCATTAATATCGGTCCGAGTCGATCACTTTTATTGGAGCATTAAAATATTCTTCTAAAAGTTCTTTATGACGGTAAAAGGTTCCCCTTTGTCGTTGCCTTAAATTCGTAATGTTGATTTAAGGAGCTCTGGAATTTTTACGGCCGCATCAAGTTTATTTTCTAGTTGTATTGCTTCTCCATCTTATTCCGTTTCCGTTTTATTTGCTCTAGAGCCACTCCAGGCATGGCTCTTATTGTCTGTCTCTATATAAATATAATTGCGACCGACGTGGATGTTAACAAAATGATACCAGGTGAATTTCTTCTGTAACTTTTTTATTTCAACGAATTTTATCAGAAGAATCGAAAAAATTATGTACGCTGAGTTGGGGAATTTTATCACAACTTGGCAACAGTGCGAAATAATCCAAAGATATTGTGTTCAAAGTCACAAGAATTTCAAATATCGCTCCACTTTCCAAAGGTAAATATTTAATGCGAAGCATAGCCTTGCTTTTGAAAATGTTGTCACCGCCGTTCTTGGTGGTGAAATTTCGAAATATCTGGAATTGAAATTGGGATCCATATTATATAAGTTTTTTTATTGTTTATTTTAAATTGTAATCTCGCTTATTAAAATTGTGGAATTCAGCTTCAAAATGCAACTTTCCATTTTAATATAAACCCTAATAAATATTTAATTGTCGAATGCTGTTCTCTTTATTAAAATTATAATTATTTTATTTCACTAGTGATTGAAATTTAATTTTAGTCACTAAAAGCCAACCTGAAACGCTTACAGAACTGCAACTGTTGGACAAAATAAATTTAAACCCACCCATTTCATTAATTGTAAATAAATACTATCGATAATCGTGCTCCCATTCCTTTCTATTATTATTTTCCGCAGAAAATATTTATGATTCAGTTCAATAATAGGCACCGTTTGCCACATAAGTGTCGTTTAATTCCTGGTTGGCAGCCAATCGATGTAATTTAATTAGTTTCTGTAAGGGGGTTAATATACAGACACAATTTAGTTAATAATCTAATAAACTAGAGAAGAGCACGACGCGTCGTCAATAAATTCATCTTTTCCCCATGCTATTTATAGAGGTGATCGAATAACGTGGAAAATTTTTGTTTTAATGGAAACGATAAACCAGTTTCTCTCTTCAGGGATGTACTTTAATTCTAATATCTATTACAATGGCTTTTTCAGAAAAAGTTAAAACATTTCACTGCGTGAGTGGCAATATTATACTTAGCAGATGTCGGCAAAATACTAAGAAAGGCCCTTTAATGAAATTCAGGAGGTTTCTTCTCCAACAAAAAGCTGGAAAACGATTTTCTTATGGGAAATTGATGATAACCACTTGCCAGACGTAAAAGAAGTTTTATTGGCAAAGTATTTGTAGAAAGGGGCGAAAGTTTATAGGATAACAGATCTGAATTTGAAAAAACTTTAAATGAAAGCCATTCGTCTTTCTATCTCAACACACAGAAAATTACTTTCAAACGTATTTTGTGTCTGATACGACCCAAGATAGGTATATTTGTATAATTATGTTTTATCGAGACAGATACTTACTTTACAAACATGCTTTTTCATTTTCTCACTTTAAAAATTGTGTTTGCTTGTGGTATGTTGTTTCGCAAAGTATGCCATGATGTTGCATTGTATTAAAATACATAATACATAAGATGAATAGCAGTAAAGGTTTATGGCTCCCTTACCAAGTCAGGCACATAAGAAAAGACATAAATTTCGTTAACAGGACTTTTATACAACGAAACTATTCAGCGGTATGAATATTTTTTCAACAATCCTGAAACCAATTTCCTTTTATCACATTTTTTTGTTTAAAACAAAAATATTGCGCTCGGAAGTTTCAATAACATTATGCGGAATTGGATGTTACTTAATCCTTTCAATATTCAGAAAGTTTGAATTAAAGCAAAAAACGAGGATGGCTTTTTATATTTCGACATCCGACGTCTCTATAGTTTTGACGTACACCAAACTGAATTTTTCAGATTCAAAAGTTGGGTAAAAATTTATACGAACAGAGTAAATCCAAAGTTATAACTTACCAACGTCCGGCGCATCTTTGTCATGATCCGTCCATTCGGAGAACTGAAAAAGAGAAAGAATTATTGTAGAACAAAAACGAGTTCAGATGGGCGACATTTTCAACAATTAAATTTTCGTTCACGGGTCG